CCCAGAAGAGATGCCTAGAAGAAACTCTGATTATCGAATATACAAGTCTAAGAAGGTTAATAGGTAGATAGCTATACTGTTGAGTTATTAACTTAGATTTAAAAAAAATAATAATCTAAATGGTTCGGTTTAGAATCAAAAAGAAAAATGTTCATATATTACTTTGGCCTGTAAAGTTCAAAGTAGAATCAAAGATAAAATATTTAAAATCCGACACATGGTATAGTCTATAACTTCGTGGTTTTGTTAAAAAAAATACTTTTGAACTTTCAGTTTAAAACTAAATAAAAAATCTTATTAAGAAAGTCAACGGTTCTGAGCGCTTACATTATTCTTCATGGTTCGATTTACTATAGTGAAAAAATACTCAAATAAGTACCAATTCTTAAAGATGACTTGAGTTCATATGGCTTACCTTAACCCTCAATGTTCAGTTTAAAATGAAGCAGAAATATTAAAATTAGCACCTAAGATGACTATAGTCCGAAGGTCTTACCTTAACCTTTATAGTTCAGTTTAAAATTAAACAGAAATAAACAACAAATTCGGCAAAGTACATAGGGCCTACTAAATTAAATGGCTCTACAACATGATTCAATTCAAAACTAAACAAAGACAAAAGTCTATGTTTCTACTGGTGTTCTCGCCTATGGGTCACAATTTAAAATTAAAGATAAATAAACCCAAAATCTCACTTGATCTAGAGCCTCGATGGCTTCGTTTAAATTTAAATTAAACAGAAAGAAACCCCAAATCTCACTGTAATCTATAATCAACTACAATGAACTACAGATCTAGTTAGAAAGCCTACATTGGCTCTAGATCATGATCTAAATGATTCAGTAAAAATAATGTAAACAGACCCCCCCCCCCTGCGATATATTAATATTGGCTTAAACTTTAACGATGAATACCTTAATGGTTCAATAAAAAAAAACAAATCTCACCAACCTTTCAGTTTTCTTCCGGACACACCACAGCAGCGCAGGGCGGCAGATGTTCTTTACAGATGGGGAACAGGGGTTCCGGGCACGGGGGGCGCTCCCTGGCTGCCGGCTTCTCCGCTTCCACCGGACACAGATCCCCACCGGCTTCTCCCTCGTCGACCGGCTCGATTACATCCACCGATGTCCCCTCGTTGTCTGGGTCAGCGACCAATGCCTCCTCTGCCACCTCCCTCGGGCACGGCGGACATGGTTCACACGGTGGGCACGGCGGGCACGGTTCCGCGGTGATGACGTCAGCGATGGTCTCCGTGGGGTCCCGACACGGGTCCGGCTTCTGAGGGCACTCCTCCGGCAAACGATCCCGAAGAGTGGGTGAAGCTTCTCTCGCTGGTACATCCCGGCATGGGTTCGCTGTCTCGGTGACAACCTCGGCGTCCAAGATGTTACTGGTCAGTTCTATGTCGGGCTCGCGACAGATTTCCAGCACTCGTGTTTCAGACTGCGGCCTCTCCTCGACCACAACCTCTTCTATGGTTGCCCTTTCAGTTGACTCGGGAACTGGCAGCTCCATGATGGATAGAATCTTAACAAGAGTTCCGTCTATGCAACCATTAGTGCGCAGAAACGTGTGACGTTACACGACATGTAATGACGTCACCCCCCGACATAAACATGCTGGTTTGGAGAGTGTGCGCATGTTTAAATCAAGAACATAAACAACCCGAAAAGAATTAATAAAAAGAAGACTTACGGAAAAAACGTGTCATGTTGAAATCTTCATTAAAATAAATTTTAAAAATTGGCAAATAAATTGTTCAAGCGGATCTTGTTGAAGATTTATATTTTAACCTCTCATTGAAACCGTAATGTTGTGAAAAAGTATTCAGAATCACAGAGAAGTCTTGTAGCATGGAGTACACGTTTATTGATAGTGCTATTTGGTAGATGCAGTGCTTTGAACACGCGTTCAGTTGCAGTGCTATTTGGTAGCTGCAGTACCACTCGCCTCATGTGCTGTTTTGGATACTTTGGCGTTACTAGGTCAGGTGTAAACCCATGCGGTAACATTGGGTGCCATCATCCTCCACAACGATATAATTATATATATATATATATATATATATATATATATATATATATATATATATATATATATATATCTATATATATATATATATATATATATATCTATATATATATATATATATATATATATATATATATATATAGTCAAATCATAAAACTAATAAAGAACTTAACCTAACAATAGGAATCAAAGATTCAAAGAAATTTTAGCGCTGTCCAAAGGATTGTGAAGATCCTAATTAATGTTTTAGGCACTTCACTGTACAGTTAAAATAACGAATTGCTGGCGTGGGAAGAATGCTATTGCTAAATTTTGGGTGTAGTTTGGTCTTAAAAAAACCCAAAATATATGCTGCTCTACTTTTTCTTTGTCCTACTTCTCACCACTCTCCCCTATATATATATATATATATATATATATATATATATATATATATATATATATATATATATATATATATATATATATATATATATATATATATGTAACATGGTTCATACCTTAAAACTGCAGACATATTTCTCACAAATATATCACCCTCTGCAACGCCAATAATCATGATTAAACACTAACCTAATTTATACCCCATTTAAATGATCAAAGTAAACACAAAGTCGTTGAATGTATAAGACTGTTTATTTTTATCTTGTTATCTTGTTTACACGAGTGGATCGTTGCCTGGCGAATACATTAGTCTTGCAGGAACGATATTTAAAAAAAAATAGAATGAAAATTGGAGTTGGCAATGAACAGCATAGGAAACAAATCAGTGAGTTATTTAAAAAAAATACTTGACCCATCTAAGTTGGAGAAAAAGGCACACAATATTGAGAGCTTGTTTGCATACGCTATGGTAGGGAAAATAGAAACACAATCTACGAATTTGGACAAAAAACGGAATTGAAAAAATTGTCGTTTACAAAAAAAAAAAATGAGTGGTTTAATTTAGTGAGCACTGGGTTCTATCATTTTAAAATAGTGTGGGCGGGTTAAGCTTTAATCAGTGTCGTTAATACATGACGTCACGCCATTTTAGCCCCCCTCTCCCTCCACTTCCCAATTATTAGAAACAACCCCCCCCCCCCCTTTCCCCGTAACAAGCGTATAGAAATTTTACGTTTTATTTTGATAATTAAAATTCTAAAGAGAAATATATAAGTCGAATTTCTCGATATATACTCCCCCCCTCCCATCATCTTGTCGTCACAGAAGACTATCCCCGACCCCAGGTGCCTACTCGATACTTCTGCTGCTATTGACACACACACATCTGAATAAAAATAACTGCCTCAGTTGAACTGGTAAGCTGTAGTATATCTTAAAGAAAGAGCACTAAAGGATCGTTCATAAATGATATCACTTTCTTCCCAAACGATTATTACTTTGCTCCTCCCCACTAAAGTCATATCCCCTAGGCATATCCACAAGGGCTCCATCTTCTCCAAACTGAAGTTTTTATTTCTGGAATACAGCCCCCCCCCCCCCCCCCCCAGCTCCACCAATAAAAATTGTTGTTTATTTTTAGTCCATTTTAAAGTCTTTAAACATTTGAATAACAGCAAAATTTTATTTTAAAATATAATTTCTAAAAGTTAATACTATGGCATTAAACTATTCTGTCCCTCTCCCCTCCTTCACAAAAATCCAAAACCCCTGCATATGTTTGAAGTGTGACATCCTTTATAGATGACCACTTTGGCTGAACAGATGGCCTAAATTAACAACAGGTTGGAGATAAATAATTAAAAAGTGGCTGTGGTTTAGCTTATGGATTAATACAGAGTGTCTTACCCAGTGACTAAAAGAATTTTTTTTTTACTGATTTGCCCAATGTTTAAGATAAAATTGTGAACTTGCAAAAAAGTTCAATATCTTTGTTAAAAAAAAACACATTTATTTAAATAAAAATTATTAGTATAGTTAGCATATTGGATGAGAGTTTTATGCCACCACCAAGACTCAAAGAATTGGTGGTGGGCCATCTAATTATCTAATTCAAACACAATTTACAAACGCTATATGCTGGCTTGTATCAAAAGAAAAACAAAAATAAAACAATAAAAAAACAACATAATTTGTTAAAAAAATTGTACAAATCAAAGTTATTTCAATTCAAATAATAAAATAATACTTTTAACTGAATAAAGAAAATAAAGAAATAAAAAGAAGAAAGATAAAATTTAAATTATAAAATAAGTTGGCAGCTAAAACAACAACAATAATGATAATTTTCTATTGCTAAAGACATTCTTAACAGTAAAATCAGTACTTTTTTTTGTTAAAAACAAAATGCTAAAATTATTGTATTTTAGTCCTATACTGCAAGCAAGACTCTTGACATTAGAGCTCAAAAGAATCTAAGTAGCATTTTATAATTAAACACTTGGAATTAAAAAAAAATTGTTTGGCAACTATAATAGAAGAAATATTAAAAAACATGTTATTCTTTTTTATCAACACAATATAATTTGCATGTATTTACACAAATGATGATTATAAAAAAATATGTACATAATATCAGCCTGTTGACTATAGCATATTATCTTCATAATAAATTTTCTGGCAACAAATAATAAATAAACACAAAAATGTAAACTGAATTTTAACTACAAATTGACAAAAAATGTATAGGATCGAATGTAACAAAATATTAGGATAAATATATTTTAATCAATAAAACAATTTTCCAAAACAATGTATTACTTCACAGTTCACAGATTATGTTTGATGCTTTTACACTTACATGTGTGAAGATGTAGGTTGATATATATATATATATATATATATATATATATATATATATATATATATATATATATATATATACATATTTATATATATATTTATATATATATATGTATATATATATGTATATATATGTATATATATGTATATATATGTATATATACATAAATATATATATATATATATATATATATATATATATATATATATATATATATATATATATATATATATATATACACATGCAATATAAATTCATTACATATATATAAACATATATATATATATATATAACGTATGTATATAGTTTAGTGTATATATATATATATATATATATATATATATACACACACAAATTTGCACATGTTCAGAATAGATTTACAAGCATAAAAACATTGACACACTTTCTTATTTATGGAATACATGATGAAAAATGTTGAATGCTTGAGCACATACACACACACACAGATTTCTCCTGAAGTATTTATACACAATGCAACTAAAAAGTAAAATGTCAGTCGATTGTTTTGACAAAATATACCCGTCAAGAAAATGTACATTTTCTAGTGAACCATCCTTACAAAGACCAGAAGATTGTATTCCAGGAGATAGATCCCAACAGCTAGGAGAAAACAGAAGTGGACGTCTATATGAATACTTCTAAGCAAGATTTATACTGCTCAACATTTTTAGGACTATCCATATGGACTGTCAAATGTGATTTTATTTTTGAATGTACATAATCTTTAAATAAACATATTTGTAATGAAAAAAAAAAAAACAAGTTGTTGCTTTTTAAAATAATGTAATTGGTTAATTAATCATTTTGTTTAAACTGTGACTGGATTAGTACATAATCAATATCAATATCTCACACAAGCAATTAGCTAAAATTATATTACAAAGTTCAGGGGAAACAATCAGAGAGATCAAAGTTAAACAAAAACTTCATCAAACCCCTAACCCCTCACAAAGTCAAACAAAAACTGCATCAATATTCCCAGCCTAATATTACATTTTTTAACATGTTCGTCTCAAAAGATAAGGTATGTAGCTTTCAAAACTAAGAAGAAAGTTGACACTGGTAGATTTAGATTTATTCATTTTTAGAGTAAAGAATTCACTTAGGTTTTAAAAATTAAAATTTAGTAGAACAAAAATCAAACCAGAATATTACTTAACATACTATATATTAAAAAATAATTCCAGAATAGAATATCACATATGATATTTTTTATAAAACAATCAATTCTATTCTTCCAAGTGTAACATAAGTTGAAATTTGTTAAACAACTCATTATAATTATGGAATACAGTTAAGTTTTATTGTCCCAGATCTTGGTTTCGATAAGGGAAATGCTTTTACTGTGGGTACATTCATCACTAGTTTGGTCAGTTTTACATCCACAATAATCAAGACAAAATTCAAAATTTCAAAATATCAAACATTACCTCCCCTGAATTGTTTTTTTCAACTTGGATGTAATTTTCAAATTTTTAAAATTAATTTATTCATTAAAATTAATACAAATTGTATAGTGTAGTATTTTAGTACACTGATATCAAAGGTTTAAATGTTTGATAAAATACGACCAAAATTTGAAACAATTAAATGATGTAGATGATGTTTCGACTGTAATAACGAGCCAACTAGGTCTAAAGGTAGTTCAGTGGGATCCAACCAGTCATAGCTTGAACAAAGAGAGCTGTAGAAAATTGTCTTGAAGTGGTTGTCTTCTTTAGGTGAATGTTGTCTTTAGATGGGTGTTGTCTGTCTTCCAATGGAACTAGTTCCTGTAGGTTTGTACCCATTCTCACACATTGGTGCCTGCCTGTTTCAGCTGCTGGTCACATAATTCCTGCCAGCGCTTCATGTTTTTGCTGAGCAAAAAAATAAAAACAAAGGAAATTGGAAGATAATTATTATTTAAAAAATGGTGTGTTAAAATTTAATTTCTAAAAAAAAGTTAAGATTTTATTTAATTACTGTCAAATAATGAAGTATTTGAAATTTTTTGAATATTGTGGAGCCCCATGACGGTTTGATCCACATTACATGGTAGGGTAACTTCCCATTGTAAAACAAAAATTCCCTTTTTTGAACATGATGGTCCATGGGGCAAGTGAAGTAGAGTTCACCTGTTTCTGTGAACTTGACATATGAAGGCATAGTGTGTTCAGCACAATGCCCAGCCGTCTTAACTTTCTCTAACGTGAGTTAAGTACCCATCAGAGCTGGGTGGACTCAGGCAGATTTTCTTCCAGGCATCTCTTAGGTTTTACCGCCCCGAACGAAATGAAATTTATATAATTTATATAGAAAATATATACTTTTAACAGTGTCCGCCCCCCCCCCCCCCCCCCGAAGAAAGTTTACCGCCTCCCCCCCCCCCCCCCCCCCCCCGAAAATTTCAAATGCCCCCCGGAGAAAAAAATCTGGAAGAAACACTGGACTCAGGGAGATTCTACTGACATTATCATGTGGATCCATATCACAGTGTGAGGCATATTTTTGTACATGACATTTTAATGCAACATCTTTTGTACATCACATTGTGGGGTCAAGCCTTTTTGGGTCAGGGGTAAACACACCATACTGTGGGGTCACATCACTCTGGCAGGGTGGAGCCATACAAACCCTGGGATAAAACTAGAAGACCTGTGCCACTGTAAGTACAGAACGAGGGATGAATCAAAGCCAGAGGACTTACATGGATCCATCCAACATTGGCTTGGTTTCAGGTAGCACATTTTTCATCAGCTCGTAACACGGTATACAGATGGATTGGATGAATCCAACCTGCAAGAAAGACGGTGTATAATTTATTCTGGTTTTGGTAAACAAAGAACAAATTAAAATGCGTGATTTAGATCATGTAAAAACACATAAAATAATTGTGATTTAGGTAATATAAAAACACATAAAATAATTGTGATTTAGGTAAAGTAAAAACACATAAAATAATTGTGATTCAGATAAAGTAAAAACACATTAGATAATTGTCATTTAGGTAAAGTAAAAATACACTTAGACTATTTTCATTTAGTTAAGATAATTGAACATTAAAAATTTGTGATTTCACGCAAACTATGCAACTTGTTGAGGATTAGCTTTGATTAACTTGGAAGACAGACATGAAAATTTACCTCTAGTTTTGGCAATTCTTCTTTCTTATCTCTGTCCATCATTTGCATAGGAGTAATTCCCCTTTTCTTTTCTTCATCACCCTGTATAGTTTCAATAAGAATTTTTGTGTCTAATTATCTCCCTTTTTCTCTTTTGACAGTACAATTTACATTTTAGTCATCCCTTCAGTAAAACTAATGATATTTGTTTTTTAATATTTAATATATTAGTTATCTATTCAGTAAAACTAAATTTATTTGTTTTGTAATGGTTAATATATCTGTTTATAAATTTAAAACTATTGTTGAGAAAGCTTGCAAACTGTACAATATAAATTAATGTGTACATTTTTTAGCTGAAGGATCTACACTATTCATAGACTTAATTACTAGTAGGTGAAAGTAAAACAGACACTAGACAGACACACATTAAGATATGGCCATACATAAATATAGAACATTGGAATTGATAAAAATCAGCTCATTGGGAAGACAACAAAAAAATAAAGGCGGATTTTTTTATACCTGTGTCCAATAATAGAATCTTCTTAAAAAAGGGGTGTCAGGTTATTGGTAGTTAACGAAATATACACATGGCTTGCTAATGTCAATATTAACCCTAGCCCTAACCTTAACCCCAACCCTAGTCCCTAATTTCTAACCATAAAACTAGTCAAGACCTACACATTTATTTTTGGAAGAGTTTATTGTCGGACATTGGTATCTTCACTACATCCCAAAAATATACAAATGATAAGCTAAAGTCAACTAGAAATTAAATCATGATATAACCATTTAAAGAAATATTTTTCATTCTTAGTTCATATGTTCTACCAACTAAACTGCCTTGGAAATAAAAAAATTTAGCAGACAGAAGCCATTATATAAAATATGTTGAAGTAAAGAAACAACAAAGATTGTGACAAATATTCAGACTAAAGCAAGAGACAAAAGCTGCGACAAAATAACCAGTAGGAATCAAGTGTCTGGTATTGGAGTTCCTTCTCCTATCATAGGCCTTAAGAAGAGTTATTTATAATAGACAAACATAGCTTCTCTAGTATCGCTTGCTTTTCAAATCTATTTCTAGAACATATTTACAACATTGTATCTTGTATTGAAATTGGTGGTAGACAACCAATATAGATGTGTAGATCTATGTCATTATGTTGCAAACAGTCTAGTATAAATTTGCTTTTAGCTATGCACTGTACTATCTGATATATACATTTGTAGACACAGTTTAATAAAGGTCTATGTTTCACAAATTGCAAAAAATCTTTGTAGTATATACTCTATTAAGAATAGAGATTTATTTGTAACAATCTAATATAGATATTTGTTGTACACAGTTTAATAAAGGTGTTTTTCACATAATGTAATAAAGATCTTTTTAGTAAATAATCTATTAAAAATAGAGATTTATTTGAAACAATATAATATAGATAGATGTATGTATGTTTTTATGTTATACACAATCTAGCTGAGTCCTAAATTCAATTTTGTAATACTGAATCATGTAAGCCTACAGTTCTGAATTAAAAAAAAACACAACCTAACAGTGCCATATTCAGCCTGTGTTAAAATGTATCTATATGCTGTGTTAAAATGTATCTATGTGCTGTGTTAAAATGTATCTATGTGCTGTGTTAAAATGTATCTATATGCTGTGTTAAAATGTATCTATATGCTGTGTTAAAATGTATCTATGTGCTGTGTTAAAATGTATCTATGTGCTGTGTTAAAATGTATTTATGTGCTGTGTTAAAAAGTATCAATGTGCTGTGTTAAAATGTATCTATGTGCTGTGTTAAAATGTATCTATGTGCTGTGTTAAAATGTATCTATGTGCTGTGTTAAAATGTATCTATTTGTGGTGTTAAAATGTATCTATATGCTGTGTTAAAATGTATCTATATGCTGTGTTAAAATGTATCTATGTGCTGTGTTAAAATGTATCTATGTGCTGTGTTAAAATGTATCTATGTGCTGTGTTAAAATGTATCTATGTGCTGTGTTAAAATGTATCTATGTGCTGTGTTAAAATGTATCTATGTACTGTGTTAAAATGTATCTATGTGCAGTGTTAAAAAGTATCAATGTGCTGTGTTAAAATGTATCTATATGCTGTGTTAAAATGTATCTATGTGCTGTGTTAAAATGTATCTATGTGATGTGTTAAAATGTATCTATTTGTGGTGTTAAAATGTATCTATATGCTGTGTTAAAATGTATCTATATGCTGTGTTAAAATGTATCTATATGCTGTGTTAAAATGTATCTATGTGCTGTGTTAAAATGTATCTATGTGATGTGTTAAAATGTATCTATGTGCTGTGTTAAAAGGTATCTATATGCTGTGTTAAAATGTATCTATATGCTGTGTTAAAATATCTATGTGCTGTGTTAAAATATATCTATGTTCTGTGTGTTACCTGCTGCCAAAACTCCTCCATGATTATGTAGACCAGGCTCAGCTGCACATCCCAGGGTTTGAACATGGCACAAAGGTCACAGGCTGTCATTGCTACAGCTGTCAGAACTGACCTGTCATGTCATCAAGAGGGAAACTGTCAGCTAGCACTAACAAGCTACCCAATTAACCATCATATGCTGCTCTTTTCTTGGTTACATATAATATTTATAATACTATAATAATGCCTAACTGTAATAGTAGGCTAAATCACTAATTAATAATCATAGGCCTATCTCAACTATCTGCTATCAGTCTATCCTACTATGCCTAATACGGTTAACATTTTGTATGTAATATCTTTTAAAAATATGCATAATTTGTTTGAATACAAATACGACTGGTCTAATTAGCACGATAATAATAATAACTGGTTTGTTTTTGTAACATTTTAAAATTTATTTTGAGACTAAAAAAATATTCTGACATAATTATTAATTTTTCTTTGCGTTTTGTTGACAGTTAAGGATGATAACTCTGGTAGCAGATTCGACAGTTTAATAATTGGATTATTTCCCTTATCTATCTAAGCTTTGGAAGATATCCTAACAAATATTTAAAACATAATTAAATTAACTTATATTAGTTATATTCCCCAAGTGAACGGTCAGACAAAATACCGGATAGGAATACAAAACATATCATGCAGGTAGAAAGATAGAGTACATTAAAAAATAGCAAAAATTTACTAGGACCAACGACACAAATATTTCAAAAAGTTGAATCACAATAATAAAAAAGCATCATTTATTTAAAGTAGGTCTACTGTAATTAAAAACAGTGTATTAATTAAAAATTTACTTATAGTGGGTCGGATTATTTTTGTTCTAATGTGACTGGTTGTCACAAGCATTTAAAAAAAAGTAATAATAGTGGACTGCTAATTAGTTTGATGATCAAAATGTTACAACTACTCATATTTTAAAATGTATTATGTATTCTTTTTATATAAAAAAATATTCACAATGCACTTAAAATAAACCTTTTTCCTACAGTACTTATGTTTTACTTCAATACTGGATTAAGAATAGCGTGGCCAACAGCATAAAATTATATAAAGTAATCAAAAATATTTTACATATCGACACAAAAGCTGCACACAGACTGACGGGAACCACGTGACCAAGCCATTTAAGAAGCAGCGATAAAACGGACGTCATAGCTGGAATACCGTGGGGGTGGGGGTGAATAAAGACACGGGGAAATCTTGGTCACCTGAGAGTAGAACTCTTCGTAAATTACTTTCACGATTTCTTCCTGGATGTGCCACGCTTTGGTCGTGGCACAAAGGTCACATCCGGTCATTACAATCGCCCGAATTAGGCTCCTACCCTCGAAATAAAACAGCAACTTACACATCGCTAACAAAAATAAGTTTCATGTCACTTCACTTAACCCATCCTCAACAATGGAAAAAAATTGTTTGGTCTTTTTCCGATTTTTTAATATTAATTTTAAATTCAAACTTAAAAAAAAAAAAAACTTTAAAAATGATACATTTAAAAAAAAATTATAATCAATAATAACGTCCCCAAATTTTAGACGATTATGTTCTTTCCATATATTTCCGTACCATCAACTCCTTTTCCCCTCGATATTTCCCTCTTTAATAAACCACCCAATAAATAAAACACCGGCTGGTTTATTTGTGTAAATGCCCATCCCTTTGGCTTATAGCCAAACTAATCCAATTCAATATTTTCGACACTTTTAATACGAAAAATCAACAAAAAAACTGCATAATTAGCTTTGAATCTACAAAATGTTGTTAAGGTAGGTGAGCTGTCTAATAAAGAAAAGTCCATTACGACATTTCTCTAAGCCCGGTCCTATAACTTAGTCTAGGTTTGCCTTCATATAGGAAAATACATTCTAAAAATGTGTCTTAATGTATCTTATTTTCCCCCCTAAATTCTTTCTTAATACTCAACAATCATTATTTATTAAATGAAATAAAATCTGAAAACGATAAATTTAAAAATGAATAATACAGCATTAAAATATCAGAAGAAAGGAACTGTTACCTGTGATGCATAGTGTCCCAGTTGAAAGGTTCTGTTTTTAAAATATTAGCAAGGATGACTTTATTTTTGAAGAACATGGCCAGATCGGTTGCTAGGATACTCTGTTTGATGTCTCCTAACACCTGGCAACATACGAGTTACATATAAATACATGCACACACTGGTAAACTCTGACAAAATCCTTCACTATCATGGACGACCCGTAATACGTAATCCAATAGACCTTAGAAAAGTATTTGAAAACAAAAAAATGTCGCTGGCATAATAAATGCATCGCTTACTTTTTTGTATTCGTCTGAGCTGAGGTATTTAAAAATGTTGTGGCCTTCGTTCTGTGGAACAAAAACATGGAATAATATTACAATAACTGCAGTCAACAAAATTAAACAACATTACAATAACCGCCGTCAACAACGTAAAACAACATTACAAGAACCGCCCTCAACAACATTACAATAACCGTCGTCAACAACATGAAACAACATTACAATAACCGCCCTCAACAACATGAAACAATATTACAATAACCGCCCTCCACAACATGAAACAACATTACAGTAACCGCCCTCAACAACACGAAACAACATTACAATAACCGCCGTCAACAACATGAAACAGCATGTTCACCTAAACATACTTATAACACATCATACATATCAAAGACAGATGCCGGTAGTAGTTTTTGTTTTGTTGGCGTTACCTGTAAGATGGTCACGGTTTGGTTGAAGTGGTGGTGCTCCATGGTGCTGGTGCTATAGACTGCCGCCAGCGGTGAGCAACTCTGGACCATGAACTGGTTCGTCTTGCCTCGATGGTCGAGGTCATGACACAGGCAGGACACAAACAAGCCGATACACTGGGGGACACAAAGGTCGGAGGTCATGACACAGGACACAAACAAGCCGATACACTGGGGGACACACATGTCAGAAGTTACGACACAGGACACAAACAAGCCAATACACTGGGGGACACAAAGGTCAGAGGTCATGACACAGGACACAAACAAGCCGATACACTGGGGGACACAAAGGTCAGAGGTCATGACACAGGCAGGACACAAACAAGCCGATACACTGGGGGACACAAAGGTCACAGGTCATGACACAGGACACAAACAAGCAATATACACTGGGGGACACAAAGGTCAGAAGTTACGACACAGGCAGGAAACATACAATCTAATACATTAGAAATATAGAGGTAAGATTTTTTTTTACATTAGAAACATAAAGGTCAGCGGTCATGATAGGCAGGAACATACAATCCAATAGTCTTGGAACCTAAAGATCATGACAGAGGCAGCTTTCTTACTTAAAAAAAATACGGACGCTGATCGTGAATGACGATTAGGATAAAAGGGGAAGCTGGATATTATTACTAAAGAAAAATAGTCTTAAATAATCGACAAAGTTGGCTTGTCATTGACAAGTCCTAACAATTTTTTCAAGGGAAACAACTCAACAAATATTTAAAAGGGAGAGAAAAATTATAATTTTATAACCAGACACACATCGATCTGCGTTTTGCATACAGGAGAGAACTCAACATTCGCACTTTGTGTAGACAGATTAGGTTCAATGACACTCGAGTGCCAGGGACCGACCTCTACCGGTGCCAGCTTGTGCTGTGTTGTCTGCAAGACTGTGAACATGGAGTGGGCCACGGAGAAGGCGTGGTGCCAGTTGTGGTACGGGACGTGGCGGTAGTTCTTCTTCACTGTCAGGGTGAAACGCATCAGGTCTTCAAGGTCGAACCTGTGGCAGGTACCGGAAGAAGAGGACAAAGTTCGAGAAAAAGAAAAATTGATATTTAAAACTATACATTTAAATTTGCCATCTTAACTTTCAGTTAGCTATGCATATAAATAAATAAATAAATAAATAAATAAATAAATAAATAAATAAATAAATAAATAAATAAATATAAATATAAATATATATATATATATATATATATATATATATATATATATATATATATATATATATATATATATATATATATATATGCAGATATATATATATATGCATATATACATTTATATATATATGTATATATATATATATATATATATATATATATATATATATATATATATATATATATATATATATATATATATATATATGCATATATATATATATATTATATATATATATATATATATATATATATATATATATATATATATATATATACATATATATATATATATATATATATATATATATATATATATATATATATATATATATATATATATGTAACTAGGGGAAGTTACCAAGAGACATAACGTGTTACAGTCTGACGTCACAGTGCAGGTGTTGGCTGATGCCAAGGCGTAATATCTCGGGAAGCGATACGAAAGACGGTCTGTCAACTTTGATGTGACAGGATGCAGGTGGCTTATTAAAATCGGACTGTACGACAGAAGCGGCGTAATTAACAGTCTGATGTAACGATTAGAATCGATTACAATTACGATTATGATAGGACCGAATATGAGTACGATTATGAAGGGGATATAAGGAAGGCGACGGCTGAGCTCGAAGTCTCTCAGGAGGTCTCTCAGAAAGTCGGTCTCTCAGAAAGTCGGTCTCAGAAGGTCTGTCAGTCAGTCCGTCAGTCTCTCTCTCTCAGTCAGTCTGTGTGGCAGTATCAAGTTGGTTATATTGTGTTAAGAAGGACGTTAGACATGTGTATTCAGTTAGATGAAGCCTAGTGAGGACTGTTGGGGGTCCGTTGATTCAGACTATTATTGTGAAACATCTCTCTTGATTCATTATATTATTGTGAAGCATTCTTTGATTCATGTAATAAAAGGATCAATAATGAACCTGCATCTTCGAGTATCTATGCTGTGGTCAATGTTGTGTGGAATGAGTGGTTAGACTCGGGAAGGTCACATTTGGCGTTGTCGGCAGGGTAGCCAGAGACTCGTTACATTTGGCGTTGTCGGCAGGATAGACTCGGGGACTCGTTACATTTGGCGCTGCGATCAGGATGAATTCAACGAGACTTGCCGCGTTAGGCACCCATAGTCAACCTAGTTCATAACTGTGTTTAGTGTGTGTGTGAATTCGGACATTCAGGAACAGTGAAAATTGAGGAACGAGGAAAATTTTTTCATACACACACGGTAAGAAAGAACTCTTTTTTTTTACTAAAGGAATAAAATGTCTACTCTGGACGAGAAGCAGACCCATATTGTGGTCCTGCCCAGAGAGTCCCACATTAACAAATTTTACGGGGACGTTGATCCAACTTTAACCAACAGGTTCAGTGAGGAGGTCAAAGCGGCCTGGGCCTCGAGAAACATGTCACCAGAGGAAAGATTAAGACTGCTGATGGGCAGTATAGGAGAGACGGTTAGGGCAGAGGTCAAATGCCACGATAAAACCGTCCAATCAGATCCAGATAAGGTGCTGGATCTAATTATGGAGACCTTTGGGGAGAGACGGTCGGGATCGCAACTGCTATCGGAGTTCGTAGGCTTAAAGCAGAGAATGGCGGAGAGTGTGATGGAGTATTCACACCGAATAAACAGGGCCTTTGATTCGGTAAAGGGCAAAACACCTGACATTGATGTACGCCTACTGAGGGACCAGTTCATCGAGGGGCTAGCAACCCCGATCTTAAGGAGAGAGTTGAAAGAGGAGGTCCACAAAGACCCGCAGTTGACCTTCCTTCAGGTCAGGAACTCAGCGATCCGCAGGTCCGAGGATGAGGACCAATCGAACTGTTCGGTGGACAAAGTCTCTGTGCCGGAACAGAAACAATCCCCACCCACGGGGACCGGCACGGTGGAAACCATGATGGCTCAACTGTTGGCCCACCTGGATAAGGTTAACCAAAGATTGGAGAGGTTAGAAAGCAGGTCAACAGCTGAGAATCAGGAAAAGAACGGTACAAAACAGAGACAGGTTGGACGGCCGCGACCCGCCGGTCCATCACTCCGGTGGACGGCTGACGGTCGACCAATTTGCTTGTCCTATTCACAACCCGGACATATGGCACGGTACTGCCAGGGAAACGGTCGTCCTCTGTAAGGCAGGGCCAGGCTACAGAGGGGCGAGGTTATGGCCCAAGAAGCAAAATGATGGGAGTCTGTCCCGAAATGGTGATTACGATTGGGGACATCGCGGTGAAGGCAATTGTGGATACAGGCTCCCAGGTGACGACAATCACGGAAAATTTTTACACCAAATGGATGAAAGGAAAAGACCATAGGTTGAGGTCTGACACATGCATGCGCCTGACGGCAGCTAATGGACTAACCATTCCTTACTGTGGTTATTTTCTGGCGGATGTCGTGGTGGCGGGACATAGGTTGAAGCAGGTTGGGGTGTTCGTTACGAAACACAACCTAGAGACAAATGTGTCAAATATACCTTGCCTGTTGGGCATGAATATTCTTGGCCAGTTGCCAGAATTTCTTACAAATATTGTCGGATCGACCACACCAGGTCGGGGATCCAAGTTGGCCAGGTTTGCCAAGACCAGAGGAAGGATATCAATCCCGGCAAACACGGTCAAGGCAATCACATTACAAATTGGTGATAGAAGCGTGAATGGTGATGTGATGATAGAACCATGTGGCGCCGCACTGAGGGCAGGCGTCGTGTTACTGCGGACATACACATCAGCGGAAAATGGACTAGTTCAAGGATTAGTGGCAAATGTTTTGGATGAGGAAATTTTTATACCGCCTAATACTCTGGTAGGAGTACCACAGAACGTCGAGGTACAAAGGTCGGCACAGTGCATCGAACTGAGCAATACCAGCAGTAATGAAGTAACAGTTAGGTCGGTCAATGTGACGGCCGAGGTGAAGAAAGAGGATGGCCGATCATATACATTCCCGGAAACTGAGGACCCAAAACTAAATGAATTGCTGAATAAGTACAGGGATATATTTGCCTCGTACGAGGGTGATTTGGGTTACACGGAAGTAATAAAACACCAGATACCCTTACTACAAGACAAGCCGGTGGCGCAACCTTATCGAAGATTACCACCAAGTCACTACTCTGCGGTGAAAGCACACCTGAACGATCTACTAAAAAAGGGAATTATTACAACCAGCACTAGCCCGTATGCGGCACCGATAGTAGTGGTAAAAAAGAAGTCAGGGGAGATAAGACTGTGTTGTGATTACCGGAAATTGAACAATATCACAAGAAGGGATGCATTCCCCTTGCCTCGTATTGATGAATGTCTTGATGCGTTGGGGGGAGCAAGATTTTTTTCTACCTTGGATTTGGCTAGTGGCTACCACCAAGTGGCCATGCACCCCAACGATCAACATAAAACTGCATTTATTTCTCCACTGGGACTGTACGAGTGGACCCGTATGCCGTTTGGTCTAACTAATGCACCTGCTACATTCCAGCGAGTAATGCAGAGTGCTATGAGTGACTTTCTATTTCAAATAATGTTGGTGTACTTGGATGATATACTAGTTTATTCAAAAACTTGGGAGGACCATCTAGAAAGATTAGAACAAGTGTTTCTCCGTCTTAGGGAGATAGGAGTAAAGCTGAACCCAGACAAATGCTGCTTCGGTCTGAAATCGGTACATTTTTTGGGTTACGTGATTTCGTCGGATGGCATCGCCACTGACCCAGATAAAATTGCAGCTGTTAAAGAATGGAAACAGCCAACAACTACAGTAGAGGTCAGATCATTCTTGGGCTTTGCTTCCTATTATAGAAAATTTGTGCCTGGTTTTGCAAAAATTGCCGCACCATTGCATGACTTGGTAAACAAAATGACAAAGAAACACAGTAAGGAGAAAAAGAAAGGTAAAACACAACTGATAGGTGAATTATGGACTGAGGAATGCCTGAACTCGTTTAAGCTATTGAAAAAGGCTTTGACAGAGGCGCCGATATTAGGATACGCAGACTTTGACAAACCATTTCGGCTAGAAATTGACGCCAGCTCTAAAGGTCTGGGAGCTGTGCTATCACAACAACAAAAGCAAGGCTTCAGGGTTATTGCTTATGCCAGTCGAGCTCTGAAGGAATCAGAGAAGAACATGACAAATTACAGCGCCATGAAACTAGAACTTTTGACATTAAAATGGGCTGTGACGGAAAAATTCAGGGACTATTTATTAGGTGCTAAATGTGTGGTATACACTGACAATAACCCCCTGAGTCACCTAAAGACAGCAAAGTTGGGATCCATCGAACAGCGATGGGCAGCAGAATTGGCACTCTTTGACCTGGAGATAAAATTTCGCCCGGGGCGGTCCAATGGCAATGCGGACGCCTTATCAAGGAATCCTTACGAGAGACCGGGCGATGAGGAAGAAACGCTGACAGGAATATGTGAGGTCAGAGCGTCAACAGATATCCCTCACGGGGTGCAAGTGAGGCAGAACGGACAGACCGGGGTGGAGCACATTTCCACAGAGCCCGGACATATGGACATTGGTGATTTTAGTTGCCTTAATCACAAAGAGATAAGAAATGCCCAGAGAACGGATAGTGGCTTACAGCCGCTGTTGAAACCCGTCCAGGAAAAAAAATTCCCAGGAAGAAGGGAAAGAGAACAATTTGGTCGAGAAACAAAGAAAATACTGAGTCAGTGGGACCGTCTCAGTATACAGGATGGTGTTCTCATGCGGAGAATTCATGACCAAATTGATGGGACAATACACCAGGTGGTGGTGCCTGGACAATTACGAGAAGAAGTGCTAAGGTTGGCACATGACAGGGCAGGACACCAGGGTCAGGACAGGACGCACAAAATATTACGACGAAGGTGTTACTGGCCCAATATGGAAATGGAGGTCAAACGCCATTGTGAGGCTTGTGTGAGGTGTCAGCATGCGAAAATGCCAGTTGTCAAAATGAGACAGCCATCGGGACACCTATTAGCGACAAAACCACTAGAGATTGTGGCTATGGACTTTACGTCGTTGGAGCAATCATCGGATGGGACGGAACATGTGTTGGTAATGACTGATGTTTTCACCAAATGGACTGTGGCGGTGCCCACACGAGATCAGACTGCCAAAACAGTGGCAAAGGTCTTAATAGAACATTGGTTCATCAAATATGGCATACCAAGACAATTACACTCTGACCAAGGAAGGGCCTTCGAGTCAGAAGTAATTAACCAACTGTGCAGCCACTACGGGATCAACAAATCTAGAACAACCACATTTAATCCGAAAGGAAACGGACAGTGCGAGCGGTTCAACCGCAGCATGCATGATTTGTTGCGTACTCTAGAACCTGAACAGAAAAAACGTTGGCCTGATTTTCTCCCAGAGTTGGTATATCTATACAACTGCACACCCCATGCCACAACCGGCTTTTCGCCATACATGTTGCTGTTCGGACGGGAGGCTCGACTCCCCCTTGACTTGTTCCTAGGAAAAAAGGAGAGTATGACTGGCTCATACACTGTACTGGAATATGTGAATGAACATATGAGACGAATTAGAGAAATGTACAGGGTAGTACAGGAAAGACTAGAACATGAAGCACGGCGAAGGGAACCGCCGGTACAGACAAAGGACCCGCCACTCAAACTGAACGACAGGGTATTACTGCGTAGCCACCCGTTAGGCAGAAACAAAATCCACGATCTCTGGGGACAGGAGATATGGCAAGTCGTGGAGATGCCTAAAGTAGCAGGTGGCCCCTTTAAGATAAGACCCATCGATCACGCCAAACCGGATCGGTGGGCGAATATTGCTCAATTAAAGAAATATTGTCATAGTCAAGAAGAGCAGTTACACACAAGGAAACCCAAGACAATTAGGGAACCGGAAACTATAACGGAAATTCTCATACCCATCCCGGAACCATGTCACCATCAACAGAACAACAGCGACACACAAGGGGAGGATACCGGCAACAAGGAGGATCCCGGTCCCTCCAAAGGCAGAGAGACAGTAGACCATCAGATAAGTGGTCCGCGGAGAAGTTTGAGAAACAGAAAGAATACGAAATTTTTTGTCAGCAACCATCAATTCTTTCATGGTCGCGCTGGTATGAAAACAGACTGTTCAAAAAGTCATAAAAGTGAACTGGTGAAGGCACCAAACGAAAAAAGGTGGATGTGAATTCTAGAACTGTTTTGTGTCTGAGGAAGATGATGTAGACACATTGGATATGTGAAATAGGGATAACTGTCAATCTTATACGAATGTGACGACATTGACAGTGAGTGGAACAATGGATTTTTTTTACGATGGTGCGATGGACATTTAGGAAGTGCACCTACCAAGCGTTGTTTGTGGTTGATAACACACAAAAAAAGGCAGGGGTGGATGTAACTAGGGGAAGTTACCAAGAGACATAACGTGTTACAGTCTGACGTCACAGTGCAGGTGTTGGCTGATGCCAAGGCGTAATATCTCGGGAAGCGATACGAAAGACGGTCTGTCAACTTTGATGTGACAGGATGCAGGTGGCTTATTAAAATCGGACTGTACGACAGAAGCGGCGTAATTAACAGTCTGATGTAACGATTAGAATCGATTACAATTACGATTATGATAGGACCGAATATGAGTACGATTATGAAGGGGATATAAGGAAGGCGACGGCTGAGCTCGAAGTCTCTCAGGAGGTCTCTCAGAAAGTCGGTCTCTCAGAAAGTCGGTCTCAGAAGGTCTGTCAGTCAGTCCGTCAGTCTCTCTCTCTCAGTCAGTCTGTGTGGCAGTATCAAGTTGGTTATATTGTGTTAAGAAGGACGTTAGACATGTATATTCAGTTAGATGAAGCCTAGTGAGGACTGTTGGGGGTCCGTTGATTCAGACTATTATTGTGAAACATCTCTCTTGATTCATTATATTATTGTGAAGCATTCTTTGATTCATGTAATAAAAGGATCAATAATGAACCTGCATCTTCGAGTATCTATGCTGTGGTCAATGTTGTGTGGAATGAGTGGTTAGACTCGGGAAGGTCACATTTGGCGTTGTCGGCAGGGTAGCCAGAGACTCGTTACATTTGGCGTTGTCGGCAGGATAGACTCGGGGACTCGTTACATATATATATATATATATATATATGCATATATATATACATACATATATATATACATATATATATATATATATATATATATATATATATATATATATATATATATATATATATATATATATATATATATATATACATATATATATATATATATATATATATATATATATATATATATATATATATATATATATATATATATATATATATGTGTGTGTGTGTGCGTGTGTGTGTGGGTGTGGGTGGGTGTGTGTATGTATCAAGCCTGCTACTTACTTGATGTCTGCAAACAGTATTCTGAACATGTACAAACAGTGTAATGGTTTTTCGTCGTCAGTCACTGCCCATGGGGAGAATTCGTACCTGGAAGAGCATAGAACAGTCTATTAGTGCATCGCGGCAACGGCGTATCTTCAATAGGAGGTGGTGTTTCTTTCAGGCAACACTCTAGACACGCTACCCCCCCCCCTCCCTTGACCCAGTAAAGTCGCTAGGCAGATGCCACGGAGTGGCCTAGCGGTAGAGAGCTGGACTGCTAACCCGTAAGTCTCGAGTACGAATCCGGGTTCAAGTCAGGAGACCGTCCCTGAGTTCACCCAACTCTGATGGGTGCGTAACTCATGTTAGGGAGAGTAAAGGCGGCTGGGCATAGTGCTGACCACACTATCTCTTCATATCAGAGGCGTATCCAGGTTTTCGTTGTAGGGGGAGCGAAAAGAGCAAAAAAAGGCGCCGAATTATTAACACGTTCTATTCTATATAAACACAAAAAATATACACACACTACAACCAAAAACAATGAACGTAACACAATCTGTTTTGTAATTTTTGTAAAGAAAATTTCTTACATAATAATTCCTGGGAAATTATTTAAGACAAGTGAAATAGGGGAAATAATCACTCTTTTAATATAAATATGTACATATCTACACATTTAATTATAAATGTCAAAAGAAATAAATAATTACTTTAGAATATAATGAAATTGTTTAACACTATTCGTGTTTACAAAATGTTTTTGTCTATAATCAGAATTTAATATATCGTCATCATAAATACTAAAGTATTATAGCGTAATGAAAGTTTTTAAAATCAGAGTTGGTATAAAACCACGCTTTTCGTTTTAATAGAATCACTCTGAATAACAGCCTACATTTCACTAAATATCGTTTTTTTTAGTTCAGATCATATATTTTTAATTAACTACTGCTTCTTTGTGTTCTTTAAAGATCATTTTTTAACATAGTGATAGGTATGGGTTAGATCACTGTATTGATCACACACCTTTTTACTGGTAATTGCAAAAACAATATTCACAGAGTTTTACGTTTAAAAAGCTAATTTTCTGGCGGCATGGTACTTTGATACATTATTTCGCGTTTTTCTACATGTACTTAACAGATCAGTTCGGGGTGGGTTGGGGGGGGGGGGGGGGGTGGGTTCAAATTCATTCACCATTGTCCGGTCACTTTAGGTCAATTATCCAACCCAGTGTATATCTATGTGTGACATTAATGTCGCTCTACACAATTGTGGTGGTGAGGTGGGGGGGGGGGGGGAGAGGGGGGAGATAACCAACTCAGAGTGAACATAGTGTCAGTTTTTAAATGACTGTTTTAAACATACATATATATTACACAAATATATATTACAAAAATAGATTTAAATATTTTTTTTACAGAGGGTTCCATGGGGGAGGGGGGGTTGTAACTGTTTCATATAATTTGTAATCGTAATCACTATCGCCCAAACTGTAAGAATACTACTACTTCATCGTGATGACGTTGTTGATCTTGTCAAAATTTCCCCACCACTACGCAGTTTGCTCATAAGTAAATTTAAATAGAAGTGCCACATCAGTTGTATTTGTTTCTGTACTGCAATTTTTTTTTTAAATTAGTCACACGATTCAAGCTGGATATATAAAGTAATTATGTGTTAAGTTTTATGTATAACATTTTCTAATTCAATTATTCGTAAGCAAATACATTATACAGTTGCCTTAAACTTAACACCCCTCTTGCCAAGTGGTACTACCCGTAGATGTTTTTTTTAAACATTGCAATGCATCGTAATGGTTATTTTTAGAATGGCAAACTGATGCAGCTGTTAATACGTTTTGTAAATGCAGACACTACTAGACTAGTACAATAATGCTTTAATTGCTGCATGAAAAGAAATCTTGTGATTTACATAGATGTGCCGACCAAAAATGTTTTTTTAAAAAATATCATTGTTTAAAACTTAGAGTTTAAATAGTTTCCAAAAAGGCGCCACTTTGCTGAAAATGGTCAGAGGGGGAGCGGACGCCCCCCCCCTTGCTCCCCCCTGCGTACACTACTGCTTCATATGCCGAGGTCACAGAAACAAGTGAATTCTACTTCACTTGCCCCATAGACCGTCAGGTTTGAAAGGGAAACAGATGCCAACCGGTTTGCTAAGGAGGGCTTTCACCCCTTTTGCCTCTCCCTCTACTATTTTGTTATTTTTTAACTGGATAAAATATTGTTTTTACAGTAAAATTTATGTTTTATTTTGTCTAAGTGTCACCCCTAAATGGTGATACTCCAAGGGAGAACTTTACATGTATGGAGCACATTTTTAAAAATAAACTTTTTTCTGACACCCTCAGTTACCCCACCGGGTGACACCCGATCTAGTGACGCCACAGCTCTGATTTATGAACCCCGACTCCTCTCATACACACACATAAGCGCATATGTTACTTTGTTATGTTCCGTATGACCGCTGGGATTGGTTTGGCCTTAAGGTTGGCAACTTCCTCTGGCGTGGCCTGACTGTGGTAGGATAACACGTCCAGCGCCACCTTGTATTTCTGTTCGGATCTTCGGATTTTTTCATACAGCTAAAAATAGAACAATTTTTTTCATACAACTAAAAATAGAACAATTATTTTTTCATACAGCTAAAAATAGAACAATTTTTTCATACAGCAAAAAAGAGAACAATTTTTTCATACAGCTAAAATTAGAACAATTTTCATACAGCTAAAAATAGAACAATTTTTTTCATACAGCTAAAATTAGAACAATTTTCATACAGCTAAAATTAGAACAATTTTCATACAGCTAAAAATAGAACGATTTTTTTCATACAGCTAAAAATAGAACAATAGTTCAGACACAAAAAGTTAGGTTATTTCTGAAAATTACTATTACTAGGTCACTTTGTATTTACTTGTAATACAAGGGTTTAAATTTTAAATTAAAATATGTCAAATATAAGGGGTCTGCGTAGTCGAGTCGGTAAAGCTCATGGTTGCTAAACCGAAAAGTCTCGAGTTCGAACCTTCGGACAGTCGCTCTTCAAGGAGAGACAACTCCGAAATCACAAGGAGAGACAACTCCGTAATCAAACACTTTGTTCTTGAAAGTAAATCCAAAAATCCAAGTCCGATTCTTCTCATATTTTGTCGAAAAATGTTTCAGTATTTTGCTAACGTGGTTGAATTATCAATAAAAACAAACTCCCCTGTGGACTTTTTTTTGTGACAAATTTCCGTCGCGCAATGTTTCCGGTCACCTTACAAAACATCTAAAATACAGATTTCACTTTAAAGGTAGGAGAAGTCCAACTCACTTTAGCATGATGTAACGCTAGACCGCAGTAAATGGCGAACGTCTCAAAGGCCTGCTCGTCCGATTTGGTAAATGTCCCGTTACGTTTGTTGACCATCTGTACAACGCCAATCACCCTGTCAGGAAAAAACAAGTCGAATCGGGGAATGATGCGTTTATTCTCCCCTTATCTCAAGACAAAAAGAATTCTCAATGCCAGTGTAAATTATCTGTGTATTGAATTATATTTTAAAGCACATTTAAACAAAACCCTGCTTTTACCGTATTTCGTAATATTTCGAAATAGTATAAAAAAAACAACCACCAAGAAGAAAAACAAACAATAATGCTTTACATTGGGATAGTAAGAACACCTTTAGATTATCAAATGAATATACCAGTTTACACTTTCATATTTCAATAGCGCACCATAGTTTCTACTTATGACAACAATAAACTTACACTCCCTAATCTACTTGTGACAACCAGAGTTTCTTCCAGGCATCTCTTCGGGGGGGCTTTGCTCCCCCCCCCCCCCCCGAAATTTTTTTACCGCCCCCCCCCCGAACGAAATAAAATTTATATAATTTATATAGAAAATATATACTTTTAACAGTGTCCGCCCCCCCCCCCCCGAAGAAAGTCTACCGCCCCCCCCCCCCGAAAATTTCAAGCGCCCCCCCCCCCCGGAGAAAAAAGTCTGGAAGAAACACTGGTGACAACATTTACTTACGTTCCCAAATCTACTTGTGATGACAAAATCTACTTGCATTTCTTAATCTACTAGGTGACAACATCTACTTACACTTCCCTACTTTCTACTTGTGACAAAATCTACTTACACTTCCATACTTTCTACTTGTGACAACATCTACTTACACTTCCCTACTTTCTACTTATGACAACAACATGTACTTACACTTTCCTACTTTCTACTTATGACAACAACATGTACTTACACTCCCCTACTTTCTACTTGTGACAACCACATGTACTTACACTCCTCTGATGAAGATGGGCATACACAGTATCGTCTTGGTCTTGTACCCTGTCCTGATATCCACATCAGGGTTGAACCGAGGGTCCTTATAGGCGTCCTTGATGTTGAGTATTTTACCCGTACTCGCCACATACCCGGCCACACCCTTCTCCATGGGAAATCTGTCGCAGAACACAAATGCCTATAAGCATCGAAACATCTCCAATTTATGCACACAAAAAAACAAGCGTTCTAACTTATAGTGTTTCTAATTGTGTTTATTTAATGTTTTATATAATTTAAAATAGTATTTTTTAAAATAAATAATATAGTTAAACTATATTTTGTTTTCTTAAATTATAAGAAATATTTAAATTAATGAACTCGAAAAAATAGAAGAAAAAACCAAGCTTTACTGTCATCGTAGGTAATTAATAGTTATTAGTACACAATTTACTAAACAAGAAAACTTGATAACGGTTAATAGAATAGATAATAAATTAAGTTGTTAATACAATTGTGACATTAAAAAATACAAAACAATAAGATATTAAATTGTTATATTCATAACAAAAGGTATTCAAGGGAGATAAAGCTATCAAGTGGACAAAGAGCGAATAATGAGCATTTTAAATGAATTTATGAGTTTATTTTCTCAATATGCGACTAAATATCTTCTTCAATAGTTTAATAATTAATGCCTGTTTTGTTAATTATGTTAAAATGGTTATGTAAATAAAATATTTATTAGTTTAATAATTAGTGATTATTATATGCATAGTATTAACAAATTTCTGTAACTGTAAAAAAAAAAAAATCTATGAATAATTTTAAATTAAATAATAATGGAGGGGAATGTAAATGTAAATAGATTAGAACACACCGAAACAGTCAGTCTAAAGCACACGATGAAGGAACTGTTCCATGATAAACATACAGAACAATTTAAAATGTTAGGGTTAATTTGTGATTGCAAGTGGGAGAAAAAGGGCGATAACTAAACTACAAGCATATGCATGAAAAGTCAAACGAGGTTATGGCTAAAAATAGCGTGCTGCGTGTTACAATACAATCTCCCCGAGTTAGAGAGTGTTACTTGAGTGTTAAGAGAGTTACTTGAAATGTGTACTGAAGCAAATGAGCATGCCGCGTTGATTTACTGCACAGCTAGGGATGTGTGCTACACGCGGCCGGGCGGGTTAACACACACACAGCGTGTGCTACACACTGCCCGGCCGGGCGGGCTAACACACATCATGCGCTACAAGTCACGTGTCAATCCACTACGTAAGCAACGCGTCACACGGCGCCAACCTGATGTCCTGGGGTTGCCACGTGTATCTCTTCCTTAACTGTTTCTCCTCCGCGCTCTCCTCTTGGTCGTCCGGCCCCTGGGGGTTTGTTTCAGCCCCGGGGGGAGGCGACCCGGGGGTGTCCGGGCTGTCCATGGAGTAACCGTTGTCGAAGATTCGGGCGTAGATTTCGTTGGACCTCGTGTCCAAAAGAAACAGGGACGCCCTATCTGCGTCCACCAAAGCTTTGCCGAAATTCTACACCAAAGAAACACAATCAATGCCGCTGTTTTAGCGCGTTACTTAATCTCAAGTCAATTGGAACTCTCCAATTTTAATTTGCAGGTTTGGATTATCTTTGTTCTATTTATCGTATTTTTTGGCCATGTAATACTTTCAAGACTTTGTTATGATCATTTTGTCCCTTATACGAAGTGGGTGCTCAATAATAAAGTGCTGATATGTAGCAACAATAATAATAATAATAATAATAATAATAATAATAATAGAAATAATAATAATAATAATAATAGTAATAATAACAATAATAATAATAATAAAATAATAGGCCTAATAGTAATAAAATAATAATTTAAAAATTTAGCTTGAAATAATAATCCTTTTATTTAGTAAAACTTTAAAAAAACTTTATTATTATTTAAAATGTTTATATAAAAAAAAACTTAATTTGAAACGTGTTTGCATGTTTTCATAAAACGAAAAAAAATATTAATAGCACCATTTCTTCAAATATAAGTTTGTAGCATCTAATTCATGTGTTTTTGTTTTGTTTACAATAGCAAGAACTGGCTGACAATCTTGATTACATGAGGCAGTAGAGTGAGAGATAGAAGGATTGATCAAGCAGGGTGGCAAGATTATACAGAAGAAAGCGTTTACAAGCCGTACCAGATGGCAATAGCTAAATGCTTCAGTTTGGAACGTGTTTTAAAAATTGATTATTAAATAGCACACACTTTCAATTTTCTTTTTCATGTCTGTGCGATTTTTTTTTCCGCATTAACATAATATTGATTTTATTGACCACCAAATATACATCGATCGAATGTGTCTTGTGCTAGTTTGTAGACGGAATGAAATCTCCCCCAAAAGGTGTTTTGTTACTCTCATTTTTCGTGTTAGCGATACAAGTAAGCTCAAGAGAATCTTAAGCCCCCCCCCCCCCCCAGCAGTAAGACAGCGGACTGGCTTCCTACACATGAAAAAAAACGACATTCATACGGCCTTGTTTCTATTCAGTTTCTAGTACACTCAACAATACAAAAGATTGGAATGTGAAAAGGTCAAACGAAATCAGTCGATCGTATTGGAAAAATTCTAATGTAAAAAAAATTGAGGTGTAGCAATCGCTAAAGGGGGAGGGGGATAGCTCTGTATATATGAGTTAAGGGAAGTAAGAAGGATAGCTGAAAAAAAAGCGTTGTATAAATTGTGAAACGTAATGGGGGGAATTAAATAAAACAGGATGAAGCAAATAGCTGAGGTTTTTTTTTTTCTTCAAAAGAGCCCGTAAAGCTATCACGATTTAAGCCATAAAATCTGGATAGCTTTAGAAAAAAATAATTAAAAAACAAAACAAAGCTGAAACAAAACAAAATGGCAGGAGGGGTAAACCTGATCTCGTCTTGCGGTTTAGGCCTAGCGTCCGGCTGGTCAGAGGCGGTCGAGCCGCTGGGCTGGCCGACATCAAAGATGCGGGCGTAGAGCTCTCGTTTGTAATAGTCGACCAAGAACAGGGAGGCCCTGTCGGCGTTCACCAGGCGCTGGGCAAAGTTCTACACATGCAGAGGGCAATCAGAGGGTTTTCATTGGTCAGATTACAACTGGTGCTGTTTGATTGGTCAGATTACAACTGGTGCTAAGGTTTGATTGGTCAATCAGAGGGTTTTCATTGGTCAGATTACAACTGCTGCTAAGGTTTGATTGGTCAATCAGAGGGTTTTCATTGGTCAGATTACAACTGGTGCTAAGGTTTGATTGGTCAATCAGAGGGTTTTCATTGGTCAGATTACAACTGGTGCTAAGGTTTCATTGGTCAGATTACAACTGGTGCTAAGGTTTTCATTGGTCAGATTACAACTGGTGCTAAGGTTTCATTGGTCAGATTACAACTGGTGCTAAGGTTTTCATTGGTCAGATTACAACTGGTGCTAAGGTTTGATTGGTCAGATTACAACTGGTGCTAAGGTTTTCATTGGTCAGATTACAACTGGTGCTAAGGCGGATAATGGGTTTTATAATGGGAAGATATCTGGGCATACAGCAGAACGGTGCAAGGGACACGTCTTAATGGGAATATATCTAGTCGGCCATAAGGCAGCTCATTATTCCTAAATGGTGCAAGGGCAAGTCCTAATGGAAATATATCTAGTCGGCCATAAGAAAGCTCATTATTCCTAAATGGTGCAAGGGCAAGTCCTAATGGGAATATATCTAGTCGGCCATAAGAAAGCTCATTATTCCTAAATGGTGCAAGGGCAAGTCCTAATGGGAATATAATCTAGTCGGCCATAAGGCAGCTCATTATTCCTAAATGGTGCAATGGCAAGTCCTGATGGGAATATAATCTAGTCGGCCATAAGGCAGCTCATTATTCCTAAATGGTGCAAGGGCAAGTCCTAATGGGAATATAATCTAGTCGGCCATAAGGCGACTCATTATTCCTCAACGGTACCTATAAGGCGAACTAGGCAGTCGCCTAGGGCGCTGTCCATAGGGGGCGCCAAAATGGGTTGGAAAAACAAATTGAAAGTTTGAGGGGGGGGGGGGGTGCAAATCGAAAGTTTTTCCCCGAGCGCCGGGAAGGGTGGCTACGCCTCTGATAATACGGGGGCACAAAAAAAATTGCGGAGGGGGGCGCTTTTAATAAGTTTTTCCAAGGGCGCTAAATAACCTGGCGCCGGCACTGAGGGCAAGTCTTAATAACAAGATATCTGGTGACAAGGCAGATCGTTATTCCTAAACAGTGCAAGGACAGGTCTTAATGGGAAGATATCTGGTCCTAAGGCAGCTCATTATTTCTAAACGGTGCAAGGGCAAGTCTTAGAACGTTCAGATCCAAATAGAGATAATATTTTGTTGCAATACTTTCAGGGACTTTTTTCACTTAGAGGGTTTTTTTTTGCAACTTAGATACAACACATTGCATTAGTGAGATTCAGAATCCTATAATTATAATTTGATCATATATCGCATAAACATACACCCACAGACAAATACTGCGTGTATGTAGAAGCAAATATACATTACATATGGGATATTATATATTTTAATATATATTTTAATGAGATGAATCCGTGACATTAATTATATCTGTCCCCTGATACGATTACACCCCTATATATTTTGAAGATATCATTGATATACGCTTATGACGTACATCGATAGCATGAGGCTGATTTCCAGCGCAGGAGATGATTCGTTATCATGCTGTTGTTTATTTATTGTAAGTTTAAGCAGACATAGGCATAGACCCCCCCCCCCCCATTTTAACGATTTAGAGAATATATCATGCAGCTATTACGTCAAATAACCTTTAGTGTGAGTATGGACGGATGGGAAATGACATCACATGTAATGCACACGTATCATCCTCTTTTCCCGTTCGTGCTCAAGACACACGGGGCAGATGAAGAAGAATTCATTCGTTTCTGTGACCTCGGCATATGAAGGAATAGTGTGGTCAGCACTATGCCCAGCCGCCTTTATTTTCCCCTAACGTGAGTTATGTACCCATCAGAGCTGAGTGGACTCGGGGACGTTTTACTGACTTGAACGCGGATTCAAACTCGAGACTTTCGGGTTAGCAGTCTAGTACTCTACCGCCGTCCATTAATGCATGAGTATATCAGTGAGTCATAATTTGCGTTTGGTAAACAAACGGAGAACTCTAATTATAGAACAAGTGAACTTGATACTATTTGTAACGATTCTAGTGATTCTATTGAAATTATCCTTCGGCGGCGATTTTTTTTTCTATTGCGCATGCAGCACGTAATTAAATGTTATTAAGATAAGACGATTATGTCATTTAGTTAACGACCAAGCCAGTGTCAAGCTTAATGGGAGTCCCACCTTGTTATTAATTAAATTCTATTACATTTGCACATCACAATTTTGTTTTACCGCATTAAGGCAACATATTGCCGATAAATCACGATACAGATATTGGAGTATGGTATTAAAAAAAACTATTTTCTCAGACCCTACGGTCCAAAAGGCATGTGAAGTTGAGTTCATGTTCCACTGACCTCAGCGTATAAAGAGATTGTGAGGTCAGCACTATGTCCCACACTTTAGCAAAATGTTAATAAATCTCTACGGCCAAAGGTTATTGAGCTGATTTGTTTTTCTATATTGTGCCCTGGTGATATTAAATAAAACAACTCTTCTTTGCAACTTTAATTATTTTTTAAAGTTCATGTATTTACTATACACGATTTTCATGTAAATTAATTAATTATTACAAATATAAAAAGTATGAACTTACCATAATCTTCATAATAACAACATCCATACTAACAATATCTTGAAAAACCGATCTGAAATATTCAATAGACAGTATTGTACGAATATTGCTTAGCATTATATTTCGCAAACACTCTTAGTAAACAATAGGCTGACAAAATACTAAAAAAACTCTACTGGTAAGGGTTACTTGCATTTTAAATGGTAAGCCTATCATGAAAAAATACTGAACCACTTACTTGGTAACTTCAAGCAAAAAATCACTGAGTTTTCTTTGTCGAATCATAACACTGTGTGTCTAGGGGAAAACAGATTACAGCTATAGAACATGCCAGTACTGCTAGAGAACATGTTAGTAGAACATGTCAGTAAAACATGTCAGTAAAACATGTCAGTAGAACATGTCAGTAGAACATGTCAGTAGAACATGTCAGTAGAACATGTCAGTAGAACATGTCAGTACAGCTATAGAACATGTCAGTAGAACATGTCAGTAGAACATGTCAGTACAGCTATAGAACATGTCAGTAGAACATGTCAGTAGAACATGTCAGTAGAACATGTCAGCACAGCTATAGAACATGTCAGTAGAACATGTCAGTACAACATGACAGTAGAACATGTCAGAAGAACATGTCAGTAGAACATTTCAGTACAGCTATAGAACATGTCAGTACAACATGGCAGTAGAACATGTCAGTAGAACATGTCAGTAGAACATATCACTAGAACATTTCAGTAGAACATGTCAGTACAGCTATAGAACATGTCAGTAGAACATGTCAGTAGAACATGTCAGTAGAACATGTCAGAAGAACATGTCAGTAAAGCTAGAGAACATGTCAGTACAGCTAGAGAACATGTTAGTAGAACATGGCAGTAGAACATGTTAGTAGAACATGCCAGTAGAACATGCCAGTAGAACATGTCAGTAGAACATGTCAGAAGAACATGTCAGTACAGCTAGAGAACATGTCAGTACAGCTAGAGAACATGTTAGTAGAACATGGCAGTAGAACATGTTAGTAGAACGTGTCAATAGAACATGTCAGTAGAACATGTCAGTAGAACATGTCAGAAGAACATGTCAGTACAGCTAGAGAACATGTCAGTACAGCTAGAGAACATGTTAGTAGAACATGGCAGTAGAACATGTCAGTAGAACATGTCAGTAGAACATGTCAGTAGAACATGTCAGTAGAACGTGTCAATAGAACATGGCAGTAGAACATGTCAGTAGAACATGTCAGTAGAACATGGCAGTAGAACATGGCAGTAGAACATGACAGTAGAACATGTCAGTAGAACATGTCAGTAGAACATGTCAATAAATAATGTCAGTAGAACATGTCAGTAGAACATGGCAGTAGAACATGACAGTAGAACATGTCAGTAGAACATGTCAGTAGAAAATGTCAGTAGAACATGTCAGTAAATATACCAGAACTTCCAAGTACACATTATTTATGTAACTTTTATTACATTACAATGTTAATATTCCACTCTTTTTAAGTACAAGTATTCGTCGAATAATTTTTAATAAGTGAAAATTAAATAACATTAATTTATAAAAATACATCAATTGTTAAGATTAAATAAATAAAGCTATAATGCAAAAGCGAGAGTTAGTACATATGATTTAGCATAGCAAATATATTTTGATAATATATATTTTAAACATGTAAACACAAAGTAGCTACTCTAGTTTATATATATATATATATATATATATATATATATATATATATATATATATATATATATATATATATATATATAGGGGCATATATATATATATATATATATATATATATATATATATATATATATATATATATATATATATATATATATATGCCCCTATATATAAAGAATGATTTAAACTTGTCTTAATTTTTGTTTACAAAGAGCTAACATGTAAGTATAGCTAACCCAAGAATAACTTCATGTTTTCCTCAATTTTTAAAAATATTTTCAACGTATTTTAAGAAATAAAATAAATCTACCAGTATTTTTATATATATTAACTTTTAAACAATAACGACGTACATCAAATAATCAACAAACATGCAGGAGCGACAAGCAAGGGCTAGAACACAGAGTGTAAGCAGTAAGGTGACAAAATGTGCTGTTTGTCTGATATACTTGGTCGAATGTATCGTGCTGCTACTGTAGACTAACCATACGTTGAGTGTTGATTTTTTTTGTATCTCTCATCCGCGGCAAAGTAATGCGGCATGTTGTGATACTTTAGGCTCTTATAAAATTGACAACGGTGGGACTACAACGCTTCATCTTTTTCAGCTGATATCGCTGTTATGGTTAAGACTGGAGACAGAGTTTCTTTCAGGAATCCCTTCGGGGAAGGGGGGAGGGGGTCAAAAAACGTCCACCGCCACCCGAATGAAATAGAATTTTTATAGGAAACATATACTTTTACAAGTGACCCCCCCCCCCACGGTAATTTTAGACCCCCCCCACTGAGAGTAATAAATGCCCCCCCCCCACCGGAAAAAAATGTCTGAAAGAAACACTGACTAGACGTAGAATATGGCTTAGATTCAGGAAGAGGCCTTTTTTTAAAAAGGAAAGCGACAAAAATTGTTTCAATACAACCTACAGGCCATAGAGAAAGTCTATAAAATATATATTGTTATCAAATATGTAGGCCTAAATAAATAACTGTTTTTTAGAAAAATAAAATTACAACACAAAAAATAAGTGTACGCATCGTAAATTAAGTCAACCCTTTCTTTAAACTAACCCTTATAACTCACACCAAAGTTAGATATAACTATGAATAATGTAAGTAATACAATATCGGGCCTTGATCTACACTTATCTGTTTCTAAGAATTCCGCATCCTCTTTTTTCACTTGCTGTTTAGCCTGTGAGCAACCCATTTCCTCAGGTATGTTCGTTTTTTTACTTCTCAAACAAAAACACACCATCTCAGTTTTTATTTCCTCACATAAGCTCTTGGTTCATCAATGATGTTGCTTGTGTTTGTGAACATGATAGATCCTGTATCAGCTCGCCTACGCAAGTCAATGTCTTAAACTCCACACAGTGTCCGTGCTAAGCACAAAGGAAGTCTATATGAATTATGACTTCTTAACATTAGCAATATATACATGTACTCCATGAAGATCGGCAGCGAAAAAAAATATCCGTTTAAATTCTGAAGTTAGATTAGATTAGAGGAGAGAAATACGAGTATTTTGTATTTTTTTTTACCAAGCGGAAGTCATGCCGCCGTTGTTGAGAGACTTCGCACTGTTGAAAGTCCAAAAATCGGAATTTCCCGAACCGCTGCGGTGTAATTGAAATTGATATCACACTAATGGACAGGAAATTCAAGTTTTTTGTTGTTGGTGTGTGGTTTAGATGATGTGTGTTCATAAAAATCACAGGGATGTTAAAAGCAAGCACGGTGACACAGTAGCGTAGCGAGGGGGGGGGGGACATATGTCCCCGGGCGCCGACCTTAGGGGGCGCCAAAATGGGTTGGAAAAATAAATTGAAAGGTTGAGGGGGGTGCAAATTGAAAGTTTGAGGGGGGTACAAATCGAAATCTTGAGGGGGGGGGGTTCAAATCGAAAGTTTGAGGGGGGGGGGGTGCTAATCGAAATCTTGAAGGGTCGCTACGCCTCTGCGGTTGCGGTGACACGAACAGAGAACAATGTAATGAGTAGAGGGATGAAATACCTCGGCTTTAATTAGCGAAGTTGTTCCCAAAATCAAGAGGAGGGAGGCGATCTGTTAGTAAGCAGAATGTTAGTTAGACACAGCTAGAGCTAGCTACACACTACTCATTGGGTTAGCTGGAGAATCAGGGTGGGGGGGGGGATGCTGAGGGGTGGGGGAGGGCGGCTTCATAATAAGGGAATTATGGAGGTCGGATGTTAATTGATCTTTACTAAACACTGAGTAGTAGCTTAATTAAAAAAAATTAACTTATGAAATAATGTATGCTCTATAAGTCAACATGAAGAGTTAATAATCCATGATAATTTTTTATCAATACAAGCTTTATTTTTTAAACATCAGACAAAATGTTAGTGTTATACTAGGAAATATCACAGTAACTTTTACACTATTCTTGAAATATATTATTGAAACATTGTTATATACATTTACTGTAAACACTCTTTTTGTGGTATCATAGCAAAGACTTTAACTTAAAAAAAAGGTTTTAAGAATCATCAAATATAAAATATTTCCAATGAGTATCTAATACTTTATGTAGCGGTCCTGTTATTGTATAAACCTAAATGGCGTGCTAATATTTTATCGATTATATTATCGAGTACGGATAGTTGTTGTAATTCTTTAAACACTTTTAAAAAAATGTTTGAGTTGAAATGAGTAACATGTTAACTGATGGTGTTCAACTCGCCTTTCGTATTTAATATCAGTAATGTAAACTAAATATTATAAAATATCGTAGCTTTAAATTATATACATGCGAGAACGGGTGAAGGGTAGGGGTTATTGATTTTTAGGGGTTCGGGAGGGGGTGGGGGGGGGGGGGGGGGAAGCTGCGGGTTAATAAAAAATGATTGAATGTTGAAAAATAAAATGTCAGTAGAAAACACTTTTAATAAAAAAAAAACTGTTAATAGAAAAAAATATTAGAAAAAATGTTAATAGAAAAAAATGTTTAAATAAAAAAAATGTTAGTAGAAAAACTATTGTCTAGATTCTAGACTATGGTCACCCAAGACAAATCTCTACACAAACTGTAGATAAGGGAAGTAAGTCGTGATGTGGGAGAGACGATAGTTACCTCGACATAATCCACCAGCATATCGTACCATTGAAACATTAGAGTAGCCACCTAGAGCGAGTGATGGTGAAGTTTGTCATTGGGGGTAGGTGGCAGGGTGGGGAAGGGGGGTTCAGATGAATTGGGATATTTACGAATGAGGAGGGGGGATTTAGGTGTGTGTATGTATGTGTGATAGAGGGGGGAGGGTGAACAATTCTGATGAAATAGGTGGGAATCCACTTGGGATAAATAGTATGAATGGGGCTGGGGGCGAAATATATGCAGGTGTGTGGTGTGTATATGCAATACATATATGAAATATATTCAGGTGTGTGGGCTCTCAGTAGGTGGTGGGGGGATATTGATGTGGTGGGGGAATATTGATGATCTTGATGTGGTGGGGGAATATTGATGATCTTGATGTGGTGGGGAATATTGATGATCTTGATGTGGTGGGGGAATATTGATGATCTTGATGTGGTGGGGGAATATTGATGATCTTGATGTGGTGGGGGGGGGGATATTGATGTGGTGGGGGAATATTGATGATCTTGATGTGGTGGGGGAATCAATATGTGGTGGGGGATCTTGATGTGACGGGGGAATATTGATGATTTTGATGTGACGGGGGAATATTGATGATATTGATGTGGTGGCGGAATATTGATGATCTTGATGTGGTGGGGGAATATTGATGATCTTGATGTGGTGGGGAATATTGATGATCTTGATGTGGTGGGGGAATATTGATAATCTTGATGTGGTGGGGGAATCAATATGTGATGGGGGGGGGGGGAGATATTGATGTGACGGGGGAATTTTAATGTGGGGGAATCAATATCTGGGGGTGGGATCTAGATGTGACGGGGGAGTATCGAAATGTGAGGGAGGATGGGTGAATGTAAAATAAACAATCGAACCATTTTCCGATTTCCGTGGAGACAATAATTTTAATTAATTGACAAAAAAGTAAAAATAGATCAAACAACATGCCGAGATGTGTTTGTAGGTGTTTCCACATGACCATTGCGTGTCACCATACAGAAGGTGTCTCTACTACAGGAAACACCTTGCCACCATTTGGTTTATTCCTCAATTGGTAGTCTATGTTTATAAGATACCATAAGCTCAGATTCCCTAACAAACATAACGATAGCTGAACTTCAAGGGCTTTCATGGCGAATCGCCCTTAGGGTTAGTGACGTTGTAACAGCCCAATACACATAATGTACAGACTGGCCGCAATCATTATTTATAGTCAAGTGAATATATATTCTAATAATATTTCTTAAGTATTATGAATCATCACCATCTTCATCTTTTCCCGTTCGTGCCAAAGACACATAGAACAGATGAAGTAGTTAATGTGTTTCAATGACCTCGGTATACAGCGTGATAGTGTGGTCAGCTTGACGAATAATGACAGCAACATAACCATTTAAACAAAAAGGATAGTAAAATTCCCGTCAGGGTTGATGAAGTACTGTTTATATGTTTCTTGATCTCGGCATATGAAGGGATAGTGTTGTCAGCACTATGCCAAATCGTCTTTTCTTTCCCCAAAATAAACCAGGTATCCATCAGAGCTGGGTTGACTCCGGAAAGTCCTACAGTCCCGAGTCCTAATCGAGATCCGAACACAAGACATTCGGGCTAGTAGCCTAACGCTCTACCATTCGACCGCGCCATCCCATATTTAAAAACAAATGAGTACACAGATCCTACCTCCTCCTCTTCTTCTGTGAACTGGCTCCCTGCCGTCTGCCTGTAAAACTCTACCACACCTGTAGAAAAAAACAACTCTCAAACTTCAAAACTTCGTCGCGACGTGTCTCAATATCTTAATGCACTGTGAACTACATCACAACATAAACAAAATGTCAACGCCAATTATAACAACATCAGTTCCTTTTAAGATCACCCCACTCAAAGCACCTCTTTGAACGAAATGGGAAATGAATATTATATTCAAATAAAACTTCTCTATTTTAAACACTTTTAAATTGCCCACCTCCCCTTCAGGAATTTTATCTCCATCCCTTTCGTAACGTCTGCAGACAAATCCAAGAACCATAAACTAAATTCACCAAACCTTACTAATTTTAATTAACCAATCCACCAAATTGTACTCACTTTAATCCAACCAATCCACCAAGTCTTACTCACCTTAAAACCAACCAACTCTACCAAATTTTACTCACCAAAGCACGTTTCCGCCTCGTTTAAAATCGGCAGCACCATAGCACACTCCGCGGTCTTGTCAGTGACCGACAGCCCTTCAGGGTAACTGGCATCCTAAACAATGAAAGAAACAAGTATGTTAGCTTATGTTTAGACGACAACTTGTTCATTGTTGCTCCGTGGTCGAATTGTAGCATGCTCGCTGCTTATCTAAGTGACCGAGGCTCAAACCCCACAGTGTGATGGAAATATACAAAAGTTGTTTTCATACACCCGTGTTGTAATGTAATACACCTTGTCATTTACGGTTGTTTTTGGGTGAATTACAAGTTCTGCCCCCACTAAATCTACACGTATCGCAAGAGATGGTATAGAAGAACGCATGTAATTAATTCAACAGCACCATACACAGACCGGCTGATAGATGCAGATCTAACTAAATATACTCATTAAATGATCTAAATTGAGTCATCGTCTGCACTAGATGCACTCACTCTTAGATCTAGATGAACACAACGTTTTATTTAGACTTGCATATAAAATAACACAGATTCACTCACCATATGGATTAGTTTCAATCACCAAGTGACCTACATTCCCACACCAACGACCTAGATCCTCACAACCATAATATAGTTTCCGATACAACATGACCTAGTTTCAGACACCCCATGACCTACATTCCTACACCAACGACCTAGATCCGCACAACCATCTAGATTCCGATACCACATGACCTAGTTTCACACACCCCATGCCCTAGATTCTCACACCCCAAGACCTCGTTCCACACACCCTTCTAGATCGCGATACCACATGACCTACTTTCAGACACCCCATGACCTAGATTCCCACATCCCACAACCTAGATTCCGATACCACGTGACCTAGTTTCAGAAGCCATGCCCTAGATTTCCACACCCCACGACCTAGATTCCGATACCATATAACCTAGTTTCAGACACCCCATGACCTAGATTCGCACCCATGACCTAGATTCACACCTCCATGACCTAGACGCCACTGCCCTTGACCTCTATGTACTCACCCCTTGCAGACGATGTAGACGTGTCGGTTCTTTAGACAGCGCCACTGTCGCAGCCGCTGAGTACCCCAAGGACAATTTTTCTTTGGCGCCTATCGTTACGTCACCGCTGAGTTAAAAACATTAGTCAAATGAGTTCACCTCAAAATTATTATTCTGATAATTAAGATCACCACAAAATTAGAACTGACTAGATAATTGAGTTCATCACAAAATTAGAACACAATGTATACTTGAGTTCACCACAAAATTAGAACACACTAGATAATTGAGTTCATCACAAAATTAAATCGACACTAGATAATTGAGTTTAACACTGAATTAGAACAGATTAAATGATTTCTAGTTTGTTTATAATTACTCAACTAAAAGTAAATGTATAACAATACAGTTACAACAATGATTATCTTCAGGGGAGTGAGTAAAGGCTTTTCTGACGATGTGATACGTCGAGGTGGGGGTAGCGGGGAGGAGGAGGGGAGTCAATTAATTTACTCATCAACTTTTATTGTAGAACAAAATTGATGAAAAGATTAAATAACTATGTTAGAACTATTAGTAGACGAATACTGAGATAGAGGGTATGGGGCGGGGGTTAGGTCGGCTAATATTGTTTGACTTTCACTTATGCTTCTCCACCACCCCCACCCCCACACACACCCCACACCCCACAAATACACACCCTTAATGAGAAAAAAAATGAGTGATACACTTACTTTTCAGTTCGAGACAGCCGTGAGATCTCCTAACAGGTGGGGGAGAAACAAAAAGACACAGTTGTACATTAATTTCGTGCAATCAAAACAATGCTGAACATTGATAATTTCAGTAGAACAATAATATCTTCAACTTTTTCTCTTTTGTAAAACATAAATATGCCAATTTATTAATTGCTCAGACTGATTAAAAGGATATTTCCAATAAAATTATGATGATAAAAGCAGACTTTTACTAACAACAACCCCCCCCCCCCCTTAAAACTAAACCTCCCTACTATTTGAGCGACTATTACTAGAACAAGACGTGACTTTTTTTTTTACTGTCTGGGTCAAAGAGGTTGTGTCAATAAATATGGGGCTCATCATTCCAAATTAAACGATATATCTTACCCCCCCCCCCCCCCACTGGTCACTCGCTGGTGTTAATTATTAGACACCCAAACAAACTAATTTACATGTTTTAGTGAACATTTCTCTAAGTTGTGATAAAATATAACTCTATTTCAGAGGCCCGAACTCTAATTGTGGGCCTTCAATACACCCTGGTATTAAAATATCACAGAGGCACCGAACTTATTGTGGGCATCTTTAATACACACTTGAACTAAAATATCACAGGGACCCCTAGCTGGCCGTGGGTCCCTTGATAACACATGGGTACTATATTATCACAGGGCCCACAATAATACTAAAATACCACAGGGGCCCCGAGCTGGCTGTGCCCCCCCCCCTACCTATAATAACCTAAGCTTTCAAATGTACTCACTTTTCTATCCGGGTCACACGAGTACAAAGTGTAGGTATCTGAGCCGATTGCTGCAAAAAAAAAAAAAAAAAAAAAAAAATTCAGGAGGGGTACACATTAGTATCCGTGATCAATTACATGAGGTCCATGTCTTTTTAAACGTTTACACTGATTTTTCAATACTAGACGCTGGACCAAAATACCACACACCTGACCCCCAATACCACACACCTGACCCCCAAATACCACACACCGGACCCTCAATACCACACAGCTGACCCCCAATACAACACACCTGACCCCCAATACCATACACCTGACCCCCAATACCACACACCTGACCCCCAATACCACACAGCTGACCCCAAATACCACACACCTGACCCCCAATACACCTGACCCTCAATACCACACACCTGACCCCCCAATACCACACAGCTGACCCCCAATACCACACACCTGATCCCTAATACCACACAGCTGACCCCCAATACCAAACACCTGATCCCCAATACACCTGACCCTCAATACCACACACCTGACCCCCAATACCACACAGCTGACCCCCAATACCACACACCTGACCCCCAATACACCTGACCCTCAATACCACACAGCTGACCCCCAATACCACACACCTGATCCCCAATACACCTGACCCCCAATACCACACACCTGACCCCCAATACCACACAGCTGACCCCCAATACCACACACCTGACCCCCAATACACCTGACCCTCTATACCACACACCTGACCCCCAATTCCACACACCTGACCCCCAATACACCTGACCCCCAATACACCTGACCCCCAATACCACACACCTGACCCCCAATACCACACACCTGACCCCCAATACCACACACCTGACCCCCAATTCCACACACCTGACCCCCAATACCACACACTTGACCCTCAATACACCTGACCCCCAATACACCTGACCCTCAATACCACACACCTGACCCCCAATACCACACATCTGACCCCCAATACCACACACCTGACCCCCAATACACCTGACCCTCAACACCACACACCCCCCAATACCATACACCTGACCCCCAATACCACACACCTGACCCCCAATTCCACACAGCTGACCCCCAATACCACACACCTGATCCCCAATACACCTGACCCTCAATACTACACACCTGACCATCAATACCACACAGCTGACCCCCAATACCACACACCTGATCCCCAATACACCTGACCCCCAATACCACACACCTGACCCCCAATACCACACAGCTGACCCCCAATACCACACACCTGACCCCCAATACACCTGACCCTCTATACCACACACCTGACCCCCAATACCAAACACCTGACCCCCAATACCACACACCTGACCCACAATTCGATACACCTGACCCCCAATACACCTGACCCCCAATACACCTGACCCCCAATACCACACACCTGACCCCCAATACCACACACCTGACCCCCAATACACCTGACCCTCAATACCACACACCTGACCCCCAATACCACACACTTGACCCCCAATACACCGGACCCTCAATACCACACACCTGACCCCCAATACCACACACCTGACCCCAAATTCCACACACCTGACCCCCAATACCACACACCTGACCCCAAATTCCACACACTTGACCCCCAATACACCTGATCCCCAATACCACACAGCTGACCCCCAATACCACACAGCTGACCCCCAATACCACACACCTGACCCCCAATACCACACAGCTGACCCCCAATACCACACACCTGACCCCCAATACCACACACCTGACCCCCAATACACCTGACCCTCAATACCACACACCTGGCCCCCAATACCACACACTTGACCCCCAATACACCTGACCCTCAATACCACACACCTGACCCCCAATACCACACACCTGACCCCCAATACCACACACCTGACCCCCAATACACCTGACCCTCAATTCCACACACCTGACCCCCAATACCATACACCTGACCCCCAATACACCTGACCCCCAATACCACACAACTGACCCTCAATACCACACACTTGACCCCCAATACACCTGACCCTCAATTCCACACACCTGACCCTCAATACCACACACCTGACCCCCAATACCACACACTTGACCCCCAATACACCTGACCCCCAATACCACACACCTGACCCCCCAATACACCAGACCCCCAATACCACACACCTGACCCCCAATACCACACAGCTGACCCCCAATACCACACACCTGACCCCCAATACCAAAAACTTGACCCCCAATACACCTGACCCTCAATACCACACACCAGACCACCAATACCACACACCTGACCCCCAATTCCACACACCTGACCCCCAATTCCACACACCTGACCCCCAATACCACACACCTGACCCCCAATACCACACAGCTGACCCCCAATACCACACACCTGACCCTCAATTCCACACACCTGACCCCCAATACCACACACCTGACCCCCAATACCACACACCTGACCCCCAATACACCTGACCCTCAATACCACACACCTGACCCCCAATACCACACACCTGACCCCCAATACACCTGACCCTCAATACCACACACCTGACCCCCAATACCACACACCTGACCCCCAATACCACACACCTGACCCCCAATACCACACACCTGACCCCCAATACCACACACCTGACCCCCAATACCACACACCTGACCCCCAATACCACACACCTGACCCCCAATACACCTGACCCTCAATACCACACACCTGACCCCCAATACCACACACCTGACCCCCAATACCACACACCTGACCCCCAATACCACACACCTGACCCCCAATACCACACACCTGACCCCCAATACACCTGACCCCCAATACACCTGACCCTCAATTCCACACACCTGACCCCCAATACCACACACTTGACCCCCAATACACCTGACCCCCAATACCACACACCTGTCCCCCAATACCACACACCTGACCCCCCAATACACCAGACCCCCAATACCACACACCTGACCCTCAATACCACACACCTGACCCCCAATACCACACACCTGACCCCCCAATACACCAGACCCCCAATACCACACACCTGACCCCCAATACCACACACCTGACCCCCCAATACACCAGACCCCCAATACCACACACCTGACCCCCAATACCACACAGCTGACCCCCAATACCACACACCTGACCCTCAATACCACACAGCTGACCCTCAATACCACACACCTGACCCCTAATACCACACACCTGACCCCCCAATACACCAGACCCCCAATACCACACACCTGACCCCCAATACCACACACCTGACCCCCAATTCCACACACCTGACCCCCAATACCACACACCTCACCCCCCAATACACCAGACCCCCAATACCACACTCTTGACCCCCCAATACACCTGACCCCCAATACCACACACCTGACCCTCAATTCCACACACCTGACCCCCAATACCACACACCTGACCCCCAATACCACACACCTGACCCCCAATACACCTGACCCACAATACCACACACCTGACCCCCAATACCACACACCTGACCCCCAATACACCTGACCCTCAATACCACACACCTGATCCCCAATACCACACACCTGACCCCCAATACCACACACCTAACCCCCAATACCACACACCTGACCCCCAATACCACACACCTGACCCCCAATACACCTGACCCTCAATACCACACACCTGACCCCCAATACCACACACCTGACCCCCAATACACCTGACCCTCAATACCACACACCTGACCCCCAATACCACACACCTGACCCCCAATACCACACACCTGACCCCCAATTCCACACACCTGACCCCCAATACCACACACCTGACCCTCAATTCCACACACCTGACCCCCAATACCACACACCTGACCCCCAATACCACACACCTGACCCCCAATACACCTGACCCTCAATACCACACACCTGACCCCCAATACCACACACCTGACCCCCAATACACCTGACCCTCAATACCACACACCTGACCCCCAATACCACACACCTGACCCCCAATACACCTGACCCTCAATACCACACACCTGACCCCCAATACCACACACCTGACCCCCAATACCACACACCTGACCCCCAATACCACACACCTGACCCCCAATACCACACACCTGACCCCCAATACCACACACCTGACCCCCAATACCACACACCTGACCCCCAATACACCTGACCCTCAATACCACACACCTGACCCCCAATACCACACACCTGACCCCCAATACCACACACCTGACCCCCAATACCACACACCTGACCCCAATACCACACACCTGACCCCCAATACCACACACCTGACCCCCAATACACCTGACCCCCAATACACCTGACCCTCAATTCCACACACCTGACCCCCAATACCACACACTTGACCCCCAATACACCTGACCCCCAATACCACACACCTGTCCCCCAATACCACACACCTGACCCCCCAATACACCAGACCCCCAATACCACACACCTGACCCTAAATACCACACACCTGACCCCCAATACCACACACCTGACCCCCCAATACACCAGACCCCCAATACCACACACCTGACCCCCAATACCACACACCTGACCCCCAATACACCAGACCCCCAATACCACACACCTGACCCCCAATACCACACAGCTGACCCCCAATACCACACACCTGACCCTCAATACCACACAGCTGACCCTCAATACCACACACCTGACCCCTAATACCACACACCTGACCCCCCAATACACCAGACCCCCAATACCACACACCTGACCCCCAATACCACACACCTGACCCCCAATACCACACACCTGACCCCCAATACCACACACCTCACCCCCCAATACACCAGACCCCCAATACCACACTCTTGACCCCCCAATACACCTGACCCCCAATACCACACACCTGACCCTCAATACCACACACCTGACCACCAATACCACACACCAGACCCCCAATACCACACACCAGACCCCCAATACCACACACCTGACCCCCAATACCACACACCTGACCCCCAATACCACACACCAGACCCCCAATACCACACACCTGACCCCCAATACCACACACCTGACCCCCAATACCACATACTTGACCCCCAATACACCTGACCCTCAATACCACACACCTGACCCCCAATACCACACACCTGACCCTCAATACCACACACCTGACCCCCAATACACCTGACCCCCAATACACCTGACCCCCAATACCACACACTTGACCCCCAATACCACACACCTGACCCCCAATACCACACACCTGACCCCCAATACCACACACTAGACCCCCAATACCACACACCTGACCCCCAATACCGGACAACTAACCTGAAGCCACACAAGCGGCCAGCTCCAAAAGAACCATAACTCTTCCATTTGTGTGATGGAATTCTTTGGACAACTCTTGCAGGACCCGCCCTTTACTCGTCTGGAGTCTGATCTACAGGGAAGACAGAGATTTAGTAAAGACAGCAGTTTTTAAATCAACTACACTACACCCAGTTGGCAGAGATTTAGTAATGACAGCAGTCTTAAAATCAACTATACTACACCGGGTTTATAGAGATTTAGTAAAGACAGCAGTTTTTAAATCAACTACACTACACCCAGTTGGTAGAGATTTAGTAATGACAGCAGTCTTAAAATCAGCTATACTACACCGGGTTTATAGAGATTTAGTAATGACAGCATTTTTAAAATCAACTACACTACACCAGGTTGTTAGAGATTTAGTAATGACCGCAGTTTTCCTAGGTAATTTACTGTCCCCAGCTAACGTGCATTAGCTACCCGGGATTCGAACTTGGGACTTTTGGAGTTAGCAATTGTGCGTTCTTCTGCCCCACCGTTTGAAGGATTATTCAGAACCTAAGGTACAATATGAGCTCAACGAAGATTTTGAGATATAGACACAAATTGTAAATACTAATTATTCTTTCTCATAAAGATTTTTATTTAAAAATATAAGTATCGAAAATATAAATTATTAAACAAAAAGTATTTGAAGTGAAATACATTTTTACGTCGTAAAATATACTGAACCTGCAGGTGCAGTGTATACATACTAGTTTTACAATGTAAAACAAAAGCTGAACTTACTTTCCATTTGGACAACGGACTTTTTTCTAAATCATGACCCGTGTGTCCCCCTGTAGAAAAAACAAGTTTACGGTAAAGAGTTAGAAAATTGATGAGGCCGGCTTGACTTTTATATGTCCTGTTTTATGTCAGTGCAATCTAAACATAGCATTATATGCCAGCCCAGATACCCATGATTTAGGTAGTAAATGTTTTAGACACTGTATTGCTTTACAGCAGAGGTCTCCAAACTTTTCAGTCCGAGGGCCGCATTAACTATCGAATTTCAGTTCGGGGGCCAATTTCTTCAAAGCATGTCTTTGATTTTTCTGGGCAAAGTTCCTCAGCCATCACCAACAAACGGTTTTTCCGTGGACAAAAAAATCTCCGCGGGCCGGATGAGAGGACATCGTGGTCGCATCCGGCCCGCGGGCCGTAGTTTGGAGACCCCTGCTTTACAGTCAGCACCAGTAATGTGATTGGTCCTGTTGAAATTCTACTGAGCATAGTCAAAACAAAGACGTTGAGATGGTATGGGCATGGCACAAGAACCAGCAGTCTATACAAAACAATTAGGGCTGGTAAGTAGGTCACCACCCAGCTCTACGGCTCAATAAAACCTGCATGAGCCATAGAACTGGTTGGTGACCTACTTACCAGCCCTATAATGCAGGAGACACAGTGCCAGAAGGAGGGGAAGGCAAAGACGTCAAATGATGGATGCCATCAAGGATTGGACTGTGCTGTCCGTTGTAAAAAAAAAAAAAGGAGCAGAGGACAGATCCTGATGTTGGGGAAAATTATAACCTGTGGTGCCCCAGTGCCCCTTAGGGTTAAGGGATGATTGATTGATTGCGTTCCAAGATCTTTATATTACTTAAGTATATTGGATAATATCCTGATATACTTCTCCGTCCTCAAGCCCCCCCTCCCCCCCCCTAATTGGCTATCAGTAAGGAACAACATAATTAAAAATCTTAGAAGCTAACTTTATGTGGACAGCATCTGTTTGTATAGAAAGCCTACTTTTTTTTTGTTGTTGTCTCTCAACTTAGCCCATAATAAATATTTTTCTCCACATTATCGTCTAGGGGAGGTGATCAGATATCTTTGAAATGCCAAAAAAAAATTGAGAACTTTTCTTTTTCTTTTTTTTTTTTACCCCAGACATGTAATGTACAGCGTCAATTTGCCTTGCATGTTCGCTTTAGTATTGCAGTTTTCATCATAGGCTTGTGAAAACTGATACAGATTTAAAATAGTAATACTTCTTTCTTACATGTAGCCTACTTGCATTCATTTAAAATGGTTTACTTAAACATAGATCTAATACAAAATGTCTAATTACAATTTTATTTTTAAACCTGAAAATGCAAATATGTAAGTAAATAGTGATTCAATGGATTTTTTTTTCATCGACTTTGTGGTTTGAGGGTGTTTTGGCTTTTAAGTATTAAAAAAGTACTATACAAGCAGTCGAAATGTTGAGTACAATGAGGCAAATCAAATGTTCTTCCCTTTCAAACATCTACTTCTACAGCAGTCCGCCCACATGTTTTTTAAACATTTAAAATAGTAATTTTTTTTCACTATCTCAGAACTTTTTTTTAATAACTATAACATTTCTTCAACAAGATAGATTACACAATTTTAATATTTATTTCTTTTCAAATGTGTTTAATTTTTTTTTTTTAATTTGGGCAAACAAAATATATGGATGTATAATTAAATAGAACAAAACTGTGCCAAATCAGCAATCTATATATTTAGTCATATTTCTGCAAAATGGAAACTTTGCATATCAATAATAAAGGGTATACTGGTATACTAAGGAAAAACAAAACAAAACATGTACGGTATTATAAAATATTGAACAATGAAAACTGACTAATTTCAGTAGTTTGGCAGAGTGAGCAAGTTTTTACACTCTAGAAATAGTAGTTAGTATAACTTTCATGTACGGTTTTTTTAATTTTTTTTTTTTTTTTTTTTAATTTTTTTTTATTTTAATTTTTTTTTGTTTAAACCCAGATCAAACATTAAGCGACGAGAAAATTAAATATCATTTTATAAAAATTGCATTGTTCTTAAAAATATCGAAATTAAACTTGTAGCCTAGCGAAAAGATACCAAATACTCTATACAATTAATACGTTAAAAAATAATGTTTGGAAATAAACACAACGATCATTTATATTTAATTTTGAATCTGTAGTGCATTGTTCTTAGTACAGCTGTAAATGTATCTAATGGAAAAATTAGTAAATAGCGTATAAAATGAGATAGTTTGAGTTATTGTTTCCCTTTGAAGCAAAAAAAAAAAGAAATTCGGAGTTGCGGTTCTTACCGTTGACAGCCGTACTGGTGAGCGAGTTCAGCGCGTGAGAGATGGACTGCATAGGCCGCACCTGGAGCCATCGCTCGATTCGATCTGTGGTCACGTGGTTGGAGATGTACTGGTCAAGCACATCCGGGTTCTGTCTGAGGTATTGTGTCACAAGCTCTGGGGATAAGTCTGTGAGGGAGGGTCGGGGGAAGGGAGAATTTTAAAGTTCAAAAAAAAAAAGATAGATTTGCTAAAGTAGATAAAACATCCAGTTTGTTCACAAGCACCCTTTTGTATCTGTATGAGGTGGAGAATTTTTTAAGTTTAATTTTTTTTTGTTCAATCAGGTATAACAAAACATCAAGTTAATCGATGTCATAGCTTTAAGAGACATATATATATATATATATATATATATATATATATATATATATATATATATATATTATATATATATATATATATATATATATATATATATATATATATATATATATATATATATATATATATATATATATATATATATATATATATATATATATATATATATATATATGTCTCTTAAAGCTATGACACATAATATATATATATATATATGTATATATATATATATATATATACACCTACATACATACATATATATATATATATATATATATATATATATATATATATATATATATATATATATATATATATATATATGTATGGGATATGCATAAGTAGGGAATTTTTAAAAAAATGGTCATTATGATGTACAAAACATCAAGGTAAATGATGTCATATGTCAGAGAGGCCAATTATATATAGGGCGGTTTTTAAAATGATTTGGTTATAGATAGAATAAAATATCAAGTTTAATTGCAAATTTAAAAATAAAATAAAATTGAATTGTTAATTCAGATACAAGAAAATATCAAGTGAAATGTTGCCAGATAAATAAGGGAATTCCCACTCTAAAAAAATTGACCAATGAATATATCAAACAAAGCATCAAGTTTAATTACAATTTTTTTTTTTTAGATAAACCTGTTTGCACGAAATAAAAAAAAAATCAAACAACAAAATCAAATCTGTGAGATCTTTTAATTGTAAACTGTGTCACAATTTTTTAAAAATATTTTAAATAGAACAGAAAGTATGAAGCTAGAAGTTTATTGCTTGCGTTTTTTTTTTGGTGTGAAACAAGAACATTTTAGCCAAAGGTTTTAATCCTCAATATCTAATGTGATGTTTTATTTATTTTTAAAAATTTCAAGTACATTCTGACCAGAAATGGGCTTTTCGGACTTAGTTAGCGAAGATATAAATCCTCCACCCCCCTTCACCAATACCCGCACTATACAAAAATGTATTAACGAACTACAGTGGTGGAGGACGAATTGTTATATCATCCTTTTTTTATATTTATTTGTGCCCGTTATCTGTTTCAATGACCTAGGCATAGGAAGGGAAAGTATAGTTAGCACTATGTCCAGCCGCCTTAGTTTCATTAACATTGGTCAGGTCTGGTACTTTTTCAGAGTTGGTTCGGTTCCGGGACGGCCTACACACTCAAGCCCGGGATCCGAACTCAAGTCGTAAGCTCAACCATTCAACCACGCCATCCGCAAATAATTTAACAAAACAAAGCACTGACGAAAAAAAAATTTGGTCAACTAGCTTAAGACGAAGGCCGTTTTGGTCAACTAATTTAATACAAAGGTCGTCTTGGTCATCTAACTTAAGACAAAGGCCGTCTTGGTCATCTAGTTTAAGACAAAAGACGTCTTGGTCAACTAATTTATTACAAAGGCCGTCTTGGTCATCTAGTTTAAGACAAAAGACGTCTTGGTCAACTAGTTTAGGACAAAGGCCGTCTTGGTCAACTAGTTTAGGACAAAGGCCGTCTTGGTAAATAAGCTGAATACAAAATACGTCTTGGTCATCTAGTTTAAGACAAAAGACGTCTTGGTCATCTAGTTTAAGACAAAAGACGTCTTGGTCAACTAGCTTAAGACAAAAGACGTCTTGGTCAACTAGTTTAGGACAAAGGTCGTCTTGGTCAACTAGTTTAGGACAAACCATGTCTTGGTCAACTAGTTTAGGGCAAACCATGTCTTGGTCAACTAGTTTAGGACAAACCAAGTCTTGGTCAACTGGTTTAGGACAAACCATGTCTTGGTCAACTAGTTTAGGATAAACCATGTCTTGGTCAACTAGTTTAGGACAAACCATGTCTTGGTCAACTAGTTTAGGACAAACCATATCTTGGTCAACTAGTTTAGGACAAAGGCCGTCTTGGTCAACTAGTTTAGGACAAAGGCCGTCTTGGTCAACTTGCTTAATACAAAGGCCGTCTTGGTCAACTAGCTTAAGACAAAAGACGTCTTGGTCAACTAGTTTAGGACAAACTATGTCTTGGTCAACTAGTTTAGGACAAAGGCCGTCTTGGTCAACTCGTTAAAGACAAAGGCCGTCTTGGTCAACTAGCTTAAGACGAAGGCCGTTTTGGTCAACTAATTTAATACAAAGGTCGTCTTGGTCATCTAACTTAAGACAAAGGCCGTCTTGGTCATCTAGTTTAAGACAAAAGACGTCTAGGTCAACTAATTTATTACAAAGGCCGTCTTGGTCATCTAGTTTAAGACAAAAGACGTCTTGGTCAACTAGTTTAGGACAAAGGCCGTCTTGGTCAACTAGTTTAGGACAAAGGCCGTCTTGGTAAATAAGCTGAATACAAAATACGTCTTGGTCATCTAGTTTAAGACAAAAGACGTCTTGGTCATCTAGTTTAAGACAAAAGACGTCTTGGTCAACTAGCTTAAGACAAAAGACGTCTTGGTCAACTAGTTTAGGACAAAGGTCGTCTTGGTCAACTAGTTTAGGACAAACCATGTCTTGGTCAACTAGTTTAGGGCAAACCATGTCTTGGTCAACTAGTTTAGGACAAACCAAGTCTTGGTCAACTGGTTTAGGACAAACCATGTCTTGGTCAACTAGTTTAGGATAAACCATGTCTTGGTCAACTAGTTTAGGACAAACCATGTCTTGGTCAACTAGTTTAGGACAAACCATGTCTTGGTCAACTAGTTTAGGACAAACCAAGTCTTGGTCAACTGGTTTAGGACAAACCATGTCTTGGTCAACTAGTTTAGGATAAACCATGTCTTGGTCAACTAGTTTAGGACAAACCATGTCTTGGTCAACTAGTTTAGGACAAACCATATCTTGGTCAACTAGTTTAGGACAAAGGCCGTCTTGGTCAACTAGTTTAGGACAAAGGCCGTCTTGGTCAACTTGCTTAATACAAAGGCCGTCTTGGTCAACTAGCTTAAGACAAAAGACGTCTTGGTCAACTAGTTTAGGACAAACTATGTCTTGGTCAACTAGTTTAGGACAAAGGCCGTCTTGGTCAACTCGTTAAAGACAAAGGCCGTCTTGGTCAACTAGCTTAAGACGAAGGCCGTTTTGGTCAACTAATTTAATACAAAGGTCGTCTTGGTCATCTAACTTAAGACAAAGGCCGTCTTGGTCATCTAGTTTAAGACAAAAGACGTCTAGGTCAACTAATTTATTACAAAGGCCGTCTTGGTCATCTAGTTTAAGACAAAAGACGTCTTGGTCAACTAGTTTAGGACAAAGGCCGTCTTGGTCAACTAGTTTAGGACAAAGGCCGTCTTGGTAAATAAGCTGAATACAAAATACGTCTTGGTCATCTAGTTTAAGACAAAAGACGTCTTGGTCATCTAGTTTAAGACAAAAGACGTCTTGGTCAACTAGCTTAAGACAAAAGACGTCTTGGTCAACTAGTTTAGGACAAAGGTCGTCTTGGTCAACTAGTTTAGGACAAACCATGTCTTGGTCAACTAGTTTAGGGCAAACCATGTCTTGGTCAACTAGTTTAGGACAAACCAAGTCTTGGTCAACTGGTTTAGGACAAACCATGTCTTGGTCAACTAGTTTAGGATAAACCATGTCTTGGTCAACTAGTTTAGGACAAACCATGTCTTGGTCAACTAGTTTAGGACAAACCATATCTTGGTCAACTAGTTTAGGACAAAGGCCGTCTTGGTCAACTAGTTTAGGACAAAGGCCGTCTTGGTCAACTTGCTTAATACAAAGGCCGTCTTGGTCAACTAGCTTAAGACAAAAGACGTCTTGGTCAACTAGTTTAGGACAAACTATGTCTTGGTCAACTAGTTTAGGACAAAGGCCGTCTTGGTCAACTCGTTTAAGACAAAGGCCGTCTTGGTCAACTAGCTTAAGACAAAAGAAGTCTTGGTCAACTAGTTTAGGACAAAAGACGTCTTGGTTAACTAGTTTAGGACAAACCATGTCTTGGTCAACTAGTTTAAGACAAAAGACGTCTTGGTCAACTAGCTTAAGATAAAAGACGTCTTGGTCAACTAGTTTAATACAAAGGCTGTCTTGGTCAACTAGTTTAGGACAAACCACGTCTTGGTCAACTAGCTTAAGACAAAAGACTTCTTGGTCATCTAGCTTAAGACAAAAGACGCGTTGGTCATCTAGTTTAATACAAAGGCTGTCTTGGTCAACTAGTTTAGGACAAAGGCCTTCTTGGTCAACTAGCTTAAGACAAAAGACGTCTTGGTCATCTAGCTTAAGACAAAAGACGTATTGGTCATCTAGTTTAATACAAAGGCTGTCTTGGTCAACAAGACCTTGTCTAGGTCAGTAATCTCATTACAAAACTATTTTTTCTCCAAACAGATTCGGGACAAACTGAAAACAAACTAGCACCCATATATAAGCCGGCAGCTATCTTCGACATTTAAAAATCTGCATTGAATTAAAAAAAACATCACGTTTTCTACTTTAATTAACCGAAATTGCCATTTTACGTCGTAATAAAAGTGCTCGAGAACGCACGTAAAGACCATTTTTTTTATCTCAACTGTTTCCAGGTCAGCTGATCGAAGCCTCGACCCCCCACCGCTGGTATTAACCTAACCACCTCAATGACGCTAGTGACGCAACCACAGGCCTTTCTCCCAAGACTCTGACGTAGGTGCGACACAGCCGATCTTTGTGCTGGGTATTTGACATTGACTTACCCACCCCCACCCCACCGCTCGTTCTTTGACTTAGCACAGATCACTTTCTACATTTTCGTTTTACACCGATCAATAAGGTGCCCGTACGAACAACCATTTCTCTTTTTTTTTTTTTGAAAACTTGAAACA